TGGCTGCATGTTAACCAGAGCCGGAGCTGCTACCAAGTCAGGAAGCATTTAAATGCCTTTCCTTTATGAGGCTTTGCAGTTGTTTTGTTTGCATTTGTTTGTGCAGTCACTAAAGGGAATGCACAACTTCAGATCATCAGGGGAGTACGATAACGACTGCACCACCCCTCTGACTCCACTGTGTACTCAGCCAGAACAAGTTATTAAGGGTAAAGTATGACCGATTGGATCAGGGAAAGCTTTCCTGAGCTCATTTCCACACATTTGCATAAAGTGTAAATGGCTCCTGTTTTCCAGGAGGTGCCAGTATTATACAGTGCCACATTTTGAATGACAAGAGACACATACTCACCAAAGACACCAACAACAATGTGGCATACTGGGATGTGCTCAAGGTAATCGACCAACTCCTGTTGTTCACCCAGATATGTTAGCTGTCCTGAAAAAGAGAATAAGCTTACAAGTTTTCCTGGATGATAAATTGTTGCTCAAATTATGATAAACGATAATATTGTTGTTTTGAGAATACTTTCAAGTGATATATTGATTTTGGCATAATAATGCAAGTTTCCCCATTTGAAAACAAGTAAAGTTATTATTTAGCCTCTAAGCAAAATTGGCATTCAAAAAATGACTCATCATATTCGTGATAGGCGCTAAAAAGTTAGCTAGCTAACCAAACCTAGTTCTATGAAGGCTGCTTTTTATTCATTTCTTGATTTTAAAGTGAACCACAAAAAAAATCATAATGAACTCTGACTTTAAAATCAAACTACAGACCAAAACATGATTTTTATGTTCATCTTTTTGTTTTTTCCAAGGCTTGCAAAGGGGAAGACTTGGGCAAAGTGGAATTTGATGAGGAGATTAAAAAGCGGTTCAAGATGGTTTATGTGCCAAACTGGTTCTCTGTCGATCTGAAAACCGGAGTGAGTTTTTTTTTTTCTTTTATTAGCTTCGACTTATTACCTTTCCCAACTCACACAGTTCGTTAATGCTTCTGATAACAATACTGACATAATTTGTCACTCTTTTTATTACTATCTCTCGTTTATTTCCATTAGATGCTCACAATTACGCTGGATGAGAGTGATTGCTTTGCTGCTTGGGTGTCGGCAAAGGATGCTGGGTTTTCAAGTTCTGATGGATCTGATCCAAAGTGTAAGAAATCTTTCTTTATATTAAAATATACACCAATCAGCCATAAAATTGTTGGTTATTTGTTATTATGAACTTTAGCTCAGTTTTATTTTTCATTATTGGTGTATTGGGCCAACCCATCACACATAGTGCTGTAGCGGCCGTCAACAGGTATGACAGGAATGGTCCACAGCTAGCGATCATTCATGTTAGCGAGAAAAGTAAACCAGGCAAAATGGCACCCAAAAGAAGTTTAGTAATCCAGAAAAGAAACAGGAGGTGAAAAAAACGTTAAGTTAAAGGTTATGCATTTGTTGGCGTTGTGGGCGGAATAACTAGAGTTGCAGCATCTTTTTGATTTTGGTAGCAAGCTTTGGACACTTGTTATGTCGCTGGCTGGAATCTGTTCAGACAGAATATGTTTGGTGTTCGCTTCATGAATGAATAGTCTGTTGCTGTGGGAACGACTGACTAGACCCACTTCTTCAGATTCTAGCATGGAGTTTTTAAAAACAATAAAAATGTGTCTTTTCTTTTATTGATGTATTGATTGTTGTTTTCCTTTTTACAGTTTTTGTTTTCATTCGTTGAATTCATGTCAACGTGTGTCGTTTTAACCGGAGCCTTGTAAAATGGTGGCATCTTAGTGGCCCATCTAAAGGGTTAAGAATATCTTAACTCTCTCATCAGAGTACAATCTCAGAATCTTAGTGTGATAAACTACCGTCGATTCTTAAGAAGATGAATGATTTTCATTTTATTCGGCGGAGGTCATAACATTTACGACCGATCTGAACCTTAATCCTGTGTCCTCCTTGTTCGCAGTGAACTTGGGTGGCTTGTTGCTCCAAGCTCTGCTGGAGTTCTGGCCCAGAACGCGCATCAACCCCATGGACGAGGAAGAAAACGAGGTGAACCACGGTGAGAGGATAGTTTTCTGTTAAATCCAACAGTGTGACGACTCTCTGTGCATTTTGCGGCGGTCAGCCCGTCTCATCGCTGGTGTGTGTGTGTGTGTGTGTGTTCGCTCGCAGTGAACGGCGAGCAGGAGAACAGGGTGCAGAAAGGAAACGGATATTTTCAGGTCCCGCCTCACACGCCCGTCATCTTCGGAGAAGCAGGAGGAAGAACTCTATTTAGGTTCAGACAAACTTAGGAAACGTTGCATTGAGAATCCTGTGTGTTGTTGAAGTGATGATGCTCTAACTGCTCTGTCTCTGCTGCAGGCTGCTATGCAGAGATTCAGGCGGTGAGACTGAATCCATGCTGCTGAATGAGACAGTCCCACAGTGGGTCATTGATATAACTGTAGATGTGAGTATTAACAGGAAAACCTGGAGTTTCTAAGTTTGTAGTGCAATAACTTTAATTACTGCATGTTAAAAATTGGAGCCCCTTTTTAACATGCAACAATCAGAACACTGCAGATACTTTCCTTTTGTTTTCATCTTTGACACTAAGGAAATAAGGAAGGGAGGGTCAGTGGAGAGCACCGGAGTTGAGCCTTTTTTCATTCAGTGTCATCAACAGTAAGAGAAAAAGGCAGGAAGAAACAATATAGCCGATAATTGAAATGAAGTCGATAGTTTTAATTTATCGTGCGATTAAGTGATTTATCGTTTATTGTGACAGGCCTAGTTCAAATCCTACCTTTCTTTGCTGTCCAATTATTAATCTGTTAATCCAAAAACATAATCACCGAATCAGAGGAAACATTCCCTGCATTCTAGAAACAAGATTTGAAGCAGCTGCGCATTTAACATCAGATGTTCTTATCACATTCGCTGATGCTAATTATCCGCAGGGACGTTGTGCTCTAACGTGTTCTTCCTGTTCTGTTTCAGAAAAATATGCCCAAATTCAACAAAATCCCATTCTACCTCCAGCCTCATTCTTCTTCTGGTGCAAAAACTCTAAAAAAGTAAGCCTCCGGTGGATCCTGTCCATCTGAGTGGCGTTTCAGCCTTTACTCCGTCACGTACCTCTGTTTGCGTTGCAGGGACCGTCTCTCGGCCAGTGACATGCTCCAGGTGAGGAAGGTGATGGAGCACGTTTACGAGAAGATCATAAACCTGGACAACGAGTCGCAGACCACCAGCTCCTCGGCCAATGATAAACCCGGAGAGCAGGAGAAGGAAGAAGACATGGCGATGCTCGCCGAGGAGAAGATTGAGCTAATGTGTCAAGACCAGGTACGCTAAAAGTTTCTTCTTCTTCAAAATAACTTTTTCTAAATGCACTGTTTGAAAGAATGTTTCATCTCGTTTTTTTCTGTTTTAGGTTCTAGACCCCAACATGGACCTGCGGACAGTTAAACATTTTATCTGGAAGAGTGGAGGGGACTTGACACTGCACTATAGGCAGAAGTCGACATGAAATTTGTCATTTTTACAAGCAGAACTCTTGTCATTTGCCAATCACAACCCACCTCCACCATGTAGTCCCCACTCGACCCCATCACGTGCGCCAGAGTCGCCGTATCACTGAGAAACCAGAAGACATCCGAGGACATAATCCATGGTGTATCTATCATAGGGGAAGTGACCAGATCGCTCCACCACAGCCAACACTCTCCTGAGGAAACAGTTACTGGTCTTTTCACACTTCAAGGAATGACCCTTTTTTTCCCCCCTCCTCACAATTTCAGCTACCTGTTTTTCTGTTCCTCGGCTCTTTGCCTGTCAGGCATCCTGAAGCGACTGACGTTAGTCCGTGTTTGAGTGTGTATGGATGTAGTAGACTGTCGGCTCTAGTACATTCCAGAAACTCTTCCCCGTTTTACACACTCTGCACCCGTCCGCCGCCGTCACGACTACGCCTGGTTTCTGTTGAAACAAATCCTCGACCGCGACCTTCACTTTGAACTCACCCAGCGACTCAGACGCCTAACTGTTGCAGAACCTCACTTTGTCTTTGTCTTTTGTTTTTAGCTGTGCTGTTCTCCACGAATGAATGTTTTGTTCTTTTTTTTCTGTAAATATATTTGCAATTTTTTTTTTGAGGGGGGGGTGGAGTTTAAATGCGTTATGGGTTTAGCAACAAGTTTCTTTTTTTGTACAGATTCTGTAAAAAAAAAAAAGTACTTTTTTTTTCTCAAATTGCCAGAGCACATCATGAAAGTAACTTAACTTGATTTTTAAGAGTTGCATTCACAGCAACGCAGTTTACCCTGACAAATGTTAGTTTTTTTCCCAAGTCACTTTAGAAATTGGAAACAAGTATAAGGTATATATCTTAAAAACTCAAGCAGTGATTTTGATGGCAGTGAGGACTGTTCTTTGTGTACATGTCATTTAGATTTACTAAGAGTAACTATAACTTGAAGGGGGATCTCGATAGGAGAGCATTAGGAGCATCCAACCACTGTGGGAAACTCACCAAAGTGAAATAAACGCTAACGGCTACGTCTCTCTTGAAGGTCTCCAAGCAGAGATCTTTTCACTGTAAATCTTCTGAAGTTAATTTTGCCATGACACGTGTGTGTGTGTGTATGTGTGAGTGTATTTGTAACGCCATAAAGGAAAAACACATGGAGCAAGCTGATTGGCCAAAACAAGAAAACCTGGAGAGAGAAAAAAAAGATAGGAAATGTACCTCAATTAGGCCATACTACTGCAATATTCCTTGTAATAATTTGTGAAATATGTATATTTTAGGCATTCGAAGAAATAAATTGGAATGACAGATCTATAGGGATGACAATTGATGTTTGTTGGGCTGTAATGTGATCAGCTGATGAGTGTGGAATAAAAACAAGGGACACTTTCTTTTAAATCGATTGTTTAACAATCAGCTCACCCGTTTCACATTCATCATGCATTCATTCCTGGCTAAAGTACCTAAAAACATCACCCATTACATGATGGCACCTACTTTAATGAAAAATATTCAGCCCCATAAAGAGAACAGAAAAAATATAAGTGTACTTCAATAATCTCAGACTTCTGCTTACAAAAGCTTTTCTCATCAAAAATACATTAGAAATTTTCTTCTTTTTTTTTTGCATAGACTACATAAGTAACAGGTGTCAATGATGCCCAGCAGTAGAGATGCACAGATCAGACTTTTTTTTTTTTGGTCTGATTGTTTTGTAAAACGTTGACAGAACAGACTTCAGGACCATAATCAACAGGCTTCAATATATTCTTGCTTTGCTTGGTCAATTACGGTATGGATAGCAGGGTGAAGTCACACAATGGTGTAAAATAAATTTAAAATAAATACAAAATTATTGATTTAATCCAAATATACCTTACATAGCGATACCAATCATGAACAATCTGCGTTCCCTTACAGATTTGAGATTTCCAACTCTTCAAAATTATGCCGATTCGCTAAGAGGATGAGTGCTGAACAGAAAAAAGAACATTTGCTGTCATACCTACAGCCTTCCTGTTATCTGTAGAAAATCTCGCTCTCGCTCATCTTTTATAATGCCCAACTAATAGCGACTACAATTTCACAGTTTTAAATACATTCCTGTGCTTCCACTGACTTGAACTTTACACACCTTATGTTTGTATGATGCTGAAAATTAATCACTCAAAACATCCAAAAGAAGTCTGAATTAAGATTGTGTGGCAGACTGCTGCATACCATAACAGCAAGTTGCACAATAAAACAAACCAACATAAATAATGAAGGAAGAAAATGATCACTTTCTGCTGTAGCAGCTTAAACAACAGACATCTCTGCTTCCTCTAAGTGTTAATTCTAAGTGTTTCCACACCTGATAGTCCAGTGGACTGCGAGCAATTTGGAACCAAAACTGCAACATTTGTTACATTTTGAAGCTGGAGCGGTTCGTTTCCACACCGCACTGTCCAACTAAATCCTTGCCTGCGGTGGCGCTGCATCAAGAGCCACTGAAGGAAACGACATGAAAGCCTCTGAAGAAGACACGAGCACAACCTCAACAAATGGCTGTGAGGATTTTGTGTGCCTTTACTGGTTCTTGATGCAGCGCCACCACAGGTGAGGAGCAGAACATGCTTTTCAAATAGTTTGGTTCCTAAAACGTACTGTATTGTTAAAGAACAGCTGATCAAATATTGCAATTTGTCTTCCCAGTCGAGTCCACCGAACTATCAAGAATGAACAACCTTAAACAGCTCACTGATCCTGAAAAGGCCAAATCTCAAGTCTTCCTCGCTCTGTAACGACGTCCACACTGCAGAGTGTTGTTTATGCAATCTACAAGTGATATCAGATTTTTGAGATAATCATCAGGTTACCAGCTAATTTGTCAGTGCATCTCTTTTTTTTTTTTATAAAAACATGGGCAGACAGCTTGCTATACATGAATAAAACTCTCCAAAAGCTATGCAGCTGAAAAACAGCAATTACAATAATTAAAACTAAAGACTTTGTTAAAAACACACCAACCTTATCAGAGCTGGTGTGAAACATTTTCATAAATATTACAACCAAGACATAAAAAAAACCCCAACACATTGCTATAATAAAAGCCCTTTAAGATCAATCAAAAAGGGACCACGACTAAAAGTGTCCCATGTCCAATGTTTAAAGCTGAGTCATCACGATGGAAACAACGCTCCTTCAAAAACACTAAGAGAGATGGACAGTGCACCAGTAGGACAACTGTAACCTATTTTACCAGCCAGCAGTCTAGTAGTGTCAGAGAAGTTCGTAGTGTTAGAGACGTGAAGGTGCGGCTGTGCTTTGCAGTAGTCGGTGTCTTTGGAACTATTCAAGTACTCGTCTGTCTAGTGCGCCGGAAGCAACGTTTCAAAAACCCGTGTCCACTGATTTCCCACCAGACGAGTAAATAAACCTCATGCTAACAAAAAAAAATAATTAAAAAACCAGTAACTTCATTTTGTACTTGTACCTGTAGATATCACCCTAGTCTCATGTTAAAGTCTCAGCTAGTTCCTGTAGTGCAACAAGCTGGAATAACTTTGTCTGTCTTACTTCATACAGGCATTGCTTGAAAAGTATTTTCTGTTTTTCAGATAAGCTGATGAAATACAAAGAGTAGGGCTGGGCAGTTTAGCTTGATAAAATTTATTTTTTCATATGGAATCTCATTTTAATCTGTTTTTTTCTCATTTTCTTTTCTAAAAAAGGAATTATAAATGACAAAAAAAAAAAAAAACATCTTCAAAAAGGGACTTTTACGTTTTTTTGTTTTTTTTTAGGGCCAGGCTACATCATAGTCATAATATTTCCAGAAAAAAAAACAATGTGAAACTATTAAAATGATGACTTATTTATTAAAAATTTACCATCACATGACTAAATTCTAGTAATTTTATAACCATATTTTTGTAGTTTAAAAACAGTCCACCATCTGCTGGCCCAACTTAAAATCCAAATTTTCTAAAAAAAATAAATAAAAACAAAAAGATTAATCAGTTAAACTGATTTAATGCCCAGCCCCAGTTGAAATGCTTTCTCACAGCAATGTAGGACTTCCTTTATGGAAATGGATGAAAGAACGGTAAATATTGATTGTCTATGCCACGATGCATTAGCGTCGCCTCTATCTGACTGAAGGAAAACTCAATCAAAATGTGTTTTTTCTGGTTCTTCCCCACCGTCCTGATAATCTACAGGCCCTGCTGACTCGCACGCCGACGCTTGCGGATCGCCTAAGACTTGAAAGTCCGCTTCATTAGCAGCCGCGATCAGATCTACCGGAGATGGGCGCGGAGGCTCTTCAGTGAAAGGCTGAAGAGTCTCCTCAGGAGGGGACAGCACAGCCAGAGGTGGACTCGGGGTGCCGCTGGAGTCCATGACGAAGCTCTGAAGGTCTGCGGACTCGGTGCGCGGAGGAGAAGTCTCAGCTGGAGCTACTCCGGAGTCAGACCAAGTGTCAGGAGCGGCGGGAGAAGCGGTGAGCTCCACAGCTGCATGGGAGACGTGCTCTTGTAGTTCACTCTGGTTCTCGGCAGACGATGAGGGCAGAGCGCTGTCCTCCAGCTCCTCTGCACGGCAGAACAAAAAAAAAAAAAAAAAAGAAAAGAAAAAAAAAAGTCAATTTCAGTTCATTTCCATCGCTGAAAACACTCGATTCATCTGTTCACTCACCAACACCAGATATGTCACCCTCCTTTTCCTCGTGCATCGCCAGCGAAGTGTTGGTCATGTCGATGGATGACGTGGACACGTCCAGCCTGTCCAAAAGATCTGCAGGGTCAGGGCTCATCACTGCCACATCGGAATCAGATAAACCTGGAGAAAAAGATCGGCAACCAGCAGGGCGGAGATTTTCAGCCATCTCCAGAGATCATAAATTTATGAACATTTATGTTCATTAATGAGTAAAAAATAACAAAAAAAAAAACAGGAATCTGAACCAACCAGAGTCCATCACTGTCTGATCTGGTGGAGATATGACAGAGTCTAGGAGGGTGATCTGCTCCATGTCTAACAAATCTTCACTGGGGGTCGAAGGGGCCATAAGAGGCGCCTGGAAAAGAAAGAAAATCCATTACATGGAAGAGAATAAATGCAGCTGTGCTTTGCTTTGCTGATATTATCTCAACGGTGGCTGTTGTTTGTGAGCACAAAGTTTCTCAGGCGAGAAAACTTGCAGTTTTACTGTGGTTTTGACTTTTCAAGTGTACTTTGTCTGTGTAAATTGTTGCAATAAACAATAATATTGTCATTTTGAAACCATTTTCAACTCATAATAATAATGGATTATTAATGCAAGTACACCCACTCATAGATAAAAACACAAAAAGCTTTTATTTCTAAAGAAGGTTTAACACTTTTAATATCCGAAATAAGCAAACAAAACAATAATTAAAATGGACTATGAAGTCTCTGTAACCACAATTGTATTTCAAAACATAATAATAATAATAATAATAATAATAATAATAAGCTTATACATGGAAAACAGAAAAAAGTGGAAGGTAGTGCATACTAACTACTTTGTACTGAGTGTCAAATGTTGGCATCGTTTCTCAAAATGCCAGCTTATTGTAGCCAGCTTAACTACAGGTTGCATCACATAAACAAAACTATTGTTAAATATTACCCCAAAACACAGAAAAAGAAGTGATAACTATTATCATATATGTATATATTCACATTTACCTCTGTGTACCCATGTGTTGGCTCCTGTGGAGAGGATTTATCTTCTGCAACAGGGATGGAGGGCTTCTCTGTCGACATTTCTGGAGTTGCAGGAATGCGGTGCAGGTAGCCATAACCGATACCACAACCCAAGCTAAAGAAAGACATATTTAAGAACTTCCTGATTTAGTACCTTTGCTAAGAGCAAAAGAATGCATATCTCATAAGTTATTTAGCCTAATCTTGGGGACAAGTCACTGAATTATTTGAAAAAAAGAAAAAAAAAAACACAAGTATATCTATTCATGTAATTATGAACCTTTGTTACTGAAAATACAAGCATTAATCAGAGCATCTATAAGTTTCAGCAAATAATAAAGACTTTTTAAGACCTTTATAATGCCACCTTGAATTAAATTTAAGACCAAAAAAATATATAAATATCGTGAATGGTTGTATTATGATGAAGCATAGCATAAAGTGTGACATTTCGGAGGATTGTTTGTGGCTCCTAGCAGTGGTTTAGTGTGACTGGATATAGCTCTCTACAGCGCTAACCCCGGTGACGCCTAGCTTAAATGTTTGTTTTGTGCAGAACGCACCTGGCTAGCAGCCAGCAGGTGGTAAAAACAAATGACGTCCAGCCACGTGTTAAGAAATTTGCACTTACAAATGATAGACAAAGAGCTAGCTATCAAGAGCATATTAGCAGCTAGTTAGCGGTAGCCTCAACCGCCTCGAATCGCAAAAGGAATTTTAAATGTCTGACTTTTGCCTGACAGAAAACTACATATTCCTCAACATTTAAGACATGAGATTAATATATTTGAGACCACCTTAGATTTGATCAATTTCAGACATTTTAAGGTTTTAGTTGTGGATACATGAATTTAAAACTTTTCAAGGATCCCGTTATTTGTGTAATAAAAGAAGAAACATTGCTGCCTCTTACCTGCCCTCTCCTCCCCACGCTCCATTGGGTGTGACCATCACATCTCTGCAGTTGTCTGTTCGTGTGTTGTACACCAGCAGCTTCAAGGGTTTCCCTTCATGGGCCTCAATCAGCGAGAAGAAGTCCTCCGACTGTAAATGATAAGATTAGATTGACCTAGCTTTATTATCCAATTTGTCAAATAACACACCATGTGCAAATTAGAAGGTACAGAGACACGTGGTGATGAAGAGGGACTATTAAAGGAGCCTTACGTCTTGCAACATCTGATCTGCCCCGACAATGTAGTCACTGTACGACTGAAGACCTGCCAGTGCCGCTGGGGAACCGGCTTCTACGTCCTAGGAGAAACGAGTTGGACTTGAAGCACAAAATGGAACTCAAAAATAAAAATATTGAAATAAGTCGGGAAAATTAGTTTTCAGAGCGAGGAAGCGGCTCACCAGTACGTGCCAGACGTTCTCGTTGGCTCCTTCGTAGCTGCAGAAGCGAACGCTGGCGCCCAGCAGGCCCTGTCCCCCCCACATGTTACTGGGCACCACCTCCAGCTCTCGGACCCCCGTGGTTTTGGTGCTGTACACCTCCATCCTAACAGCTCTCTCCATGTTGGCTTTCAGGAGCTCCTTCAGCTGCTCGTTTTCCTCACTCTGGTCCAGAGACAAGTGAACAGGGATCAAAATAGGGATTTTTAAGCAGCATTCTCACTTTATCTGTTCTTCTATTGTTTTGTATTGAGAGAATGGTGGCATGACATTTTTTATGGTGTGATCAACCTAAGAAAAAACACCATGGTTTCATGTTATTTACACAATGATTGATTTAAAAAGAAAAACAAAAAAAAACTACACAGCATGATCTAATATAATAGTCTATTATTCTATAAAAATAATTATGGCTACAGCTACTAAGTACTTAATTGGAGATCTTGCAAACATTGATATGCAATGGCGACTGTGATTCAGAGCATTATGCAGCTGTGGAGGATATAAAGTTGACATTACTGCATAAAACTTACGAGTCTTTTGTTGTCCAGAGACAGAATGAAGTCAAAGAAGGGCTGCAGTCCCGCCTTTTCTGCAGGAGAATTAGGCTGAATCTGTCACAACAGAGATAAGGAAGCTCACGTTAATGCTGCTGCTGTGTTCCTGGGCAAAGCATGATCGACTCCGTGCATTTCAAATGTCATAAGCAACCGACAGTAAAGTGAATCAATGTAATCTGCGACTTTGTTACAGCACAGATTGAGAAGAAAAGGCCTCAGGATTGTTCAAAGCCAAGCATCTACTAAATCAAAAATCTTTTGGGTTACTGCAGAAGCAGTAACCCTGAGTGGAGGTCTGGGAAGTCACTTAGAAAATTTTATAACAACCACTTTTATTTTTTGCACAACCGCCACCAGAGTTACATAATGATAAATAATGTCAAATTATAAGACTACATTAGTTTTTATTTTTTTAGTACTGGGTCTGTATAATGTATGGAACAAAACTATTGCCAAGCAGAAACTATTCAAAAATATTTAAGCAATAGCAACTGTCTGGACTTATACTTAGTTGTTTGTGTATATTGATAGATTATACAGTTATTAATTTGCGAAATAACCGTTTTAAAAGACCCTCCTCGCCATATCCGTCCATTGTTTGCTAATAACTTAAGAAACACAATGACTTAAACGCTATTTATTCTGTGTCGCTGCTTCACGACGAGCTGAATGAACTAAAGTTATCTCCAGGACGCATTTGTCCTCTCTTCATTTATCGTTGAGCTAGTTATTTAGCTCAACGCACCTGTTGTAAAACGGGACAAACACGGTAATTGCAACCTCTTCGTTACAAAATGACTGCTCTTAGAAATGTCTCTGTCCTGTCATTTTCTCCCCGCTGGACGAAGGGTAAACAACGCCACATCATCGTTCGTGTTTTAGAGGGTGTTGAGCCGCAGCTCCTCGGCTAGCTAGCTGTTAGCATACAGCTCCGGCTAAGCTGCCGCGCTTCATAAAACAAGAGACTCGGCCAGCCTTACGCCGTGGACATGGTATCCGTACGTCCCTCCCTCGGGGGCTTCTGAGCTCTGCGTTAATCCCATTGCAGAAAGTAATTATTAATTTTATTAGTGTTGTTTAAAAAAATAATAACGAGAGAGAATTGCTATGGTTGACACTTCGCAACCATTTTTTAGCAGCACAAAACAATCGAGCGTCGCTGCTATCGAGTGCCAAAACTGACCTACACTGCGCATGCGTACGTAAACGAGACGTATTTTGTGGACCGTGGCTCTTGGAAACCACGGCCCTAAGTTCAGTTCGATAATGCTTCCGTTTTGGCCCTCCAGTGGGCATTTTGTCATTTTGTAGCAAGTGAATTTCAATGACAAATTTAATTCTTCTTAAACGGAAAGTTTTAGTCCCAAAGTATTATAATTTATATGCATTATAATATCAAAAACACACAATTTCACCACTATGAAGTCATTTGTTTTTACAATAATACATATTTGATAATGTATGTAGAAATCATTATTTTATGGATAAAAAGAAACAAAAAACTAAATTGCTCTCGGGGGCCCCTGGCGGCCGCGGTAGGTACCGCACGCTTCGCCGGTAACGAGCTGCAGAGCATCCAAACGTCCAAAGCTCCTGTCGGAAGTTAAGTTTGTAAAACAATGTCTCAAAAAAAAAAGATTTATCATTCGGGGAAGGAAAAAAGAAAGAAGAATAGAAAAAAGCCTAGATAAAGGTTTGTTTTAATGTGTGTAACGTAAAAGATTAGTAAAGCTGCTAATAGAAAGCTAGCTTGAACGCTCCAGTTCAACGGCCAAACATTTATGCTAGCGTGTTTGTGTTTGTGTAAAACTCAGTTTTAGCTTAAAATGAGTTGATTCTCTTGGTTGGCTCTGTTTATTTCTCGACAATGTTAGCCAGACTGTTTAGTCAAATAAAAAAATTAAAAAATGCAGATGTACTCCATAGTTTAAAAAAATGGAAACATTTGTTTTAATGAATCATTGCTCAGTTAACAATAGCACAATATATATTTTTCCAGATATATTATTCAAAAATCTCTCGACATTATGCATCATATCCAAAACCCATGACGATCTACTGAACAGTTACAGAGATACTTAATAAGTCAAGACTATTACACAGCTGAAGCAGATTTTATTAGACACTCCTGTAAACATGGCGTCAATGGTAAATTGAAGATGAACATCTGACAGCAAGTTGGTTGCGGCAGAACACTGAAATGGGAGGAATTACAGGGCTTATAGCGGCCAACATATTTACATGTTGCTCAAACAGACGGACCAAAAATGCTTCACAGGGACTAAAGGAACAATTAGGCTTGGGCCAGCATGACATTTGCCATTATAATAACCTTGCGCAAAAAAACCACAGTATCACGGCATTTAAACGGCAAAAACTTATGCTGGATGTGTAACATGATGCACTTTCCTTTAAAACAGGAATGCTGATTTGAGCAAGTAGAGGAAAAAGTAGGGAAACCCTTTCTCCAGCCAGCAGGTAAAAAAGGCATAGTCCACATGTAGCCAGGTTTTTGGGAAAATAAATTCATTTTCATGCGTTTTGGCCTTTCATCGACACAAAAACTCAAGTTGTATATCACTAAAAACAATTGTTTATACAAAAAATACATCCAAACTATTTGCACTATTTCTGAGTTTTTATCAGAAATAGTAAGTCATCTGACAGTTTTGACAAGAGTCTCTTTTGTGTTGGTAGTCTGAATGGTTTAAAGGATCGTTTTCATGCGCAGTTCCATCTCATCCTTACACAATCAGAAATAAACATCCAGCGAATAAATCAATTTTCAATAAATTTTTTTGCACCAAAGTTAAGAATAAACGCGTTTTCACCGTGGCTCTTTAAATGTGTATAAATTTGAAATTCTAAATTGACATTTGTCACTGTATACAAAATAGACCAGAAAATATTGCAATATGAATATTTTGAGGGAACGCAACAGTTTTGCAAGGTAATGCAAAAGAAACATTTTTCCCCATGTCCCCTACAGGCCTCCGAAATTCCCAAACGACATCGTCTTGTGATTTAATTAAATGCGCTATTTAAAAGTAGTTCAAACACACAAATGAACCTCCTGGCGCCATGTTTAATATCTAACAGGAAGTAGCAGTTGTAAGCTGAGATATGTTTTAAATTTGCGCTACAATGAACCCTTCAGGGTTTGGCGTGTTTAAAACAGCTCTCCGGGTCGGAACTGAGTACGAGTGGGTTCGTGTTGATAAAAACTTTTCTGAAATCGATCCCGCGTGTACGATATGTTTTTTAAACGATGCGGTGGAGATATTCGATTTTATAAAGACCTGGCTATGTGTGTACAAGGCCTAAAATTTGCTCTTCGCACTTTCATAAGCATCTCATTGAAAGGGCTAACCGCATACCAAACATGGAAGATGTTTTCTGTACTGTGGAATAAAAATGCCTGCTGTACAAAAATAATAAATAAAGCTTTAAATATGGACCATCTGACACACCACTGCTTCCATACACTCATAGGTAAAGGAAAACTACTGATTCTCAACTGGAACTGCTACCATTACAATACTAGGTGTCATTCTGAAAAAAACTGCCATTTTTACCAGTTAATAATTATGTCACCTTTTTATGAGTTACTACTCATACAAATAATCAGTGACTAAATAAATAAATACGTATGGGCCCAGTAAACAGGTATTCAGAGTATGTCCTGGGAAATAATCGAAGTGATGTGAGAATGATTCCCAAATCCAGCAGAGCACGGCTTATCGTCATCCACAGAGTGGCTGTTTTAATTAACATGCTACAACACCGAGCTCTTCATTGCATGTTCATATGCGTACTTTGTGCATGATATTGTTGGTTGTGGTAAAAATTAAATACATCCCATTACAATTTTGTTTTAAGGAATTACTAAAAATGAAGCTGAGTAGTCAAGTGTTGTTTCTCTTGAAAATAACAACCTTCAGGCAAAAATATTTCATCAGAAAAAATAGGTCTTTGTATTTAGAAATTATTATAAATATTTTTTTTTTTTAAAGCACTAGAGTGGGCGTTTTATTAAATTGGGTATGAAGGCGCAGTGTCTGAATCAGCCAATCAGAGACTCTAGGAGCTGGGTGCTCAACTCCTGCTGTGGTAAATTCACCGAGCTGCACAGCTGGAAGTGCTGAAAGCTGTCGGAGAGTCTGTGCTCTTTGAAGGAGCTGTGCAGCAGTCCGGAGGGATAGTCCCTGTGGAAGAACTCCAGGTCGGAGTCAGAGGAGAGGCTCAGGTCCATGTATCCGCTGAAGGAGTAGCCCACTGTGGGAGACGGGGTGTGAGGAAAGTCCTCGAAAGAGTCCTCGTCGAAAAAGTCTCTGGACTGATTGGCGTTCTCGTCGAGATAGTTCCTGCTGGCGTCAATGTTGTCTGCGAGCGCAACGGGCGAATGCGGTCTGTCGTCATCTGCGGTTGCAGAGCTGCATCTGTGCCGGTTTTGGGCACACGAGAAGAAGTTCTTATTGCTGGAGTCATGAGTCAAATCTGTGTCTCTGTCTGGAAGAGTCTGAGTCCCGCTGAAGAATTGACCCGCGTCGCATTCGGAGGAGGAGAGGGAGGATTCAGACATGTCGCTGCTGCAGCTGTTCTCCTCAGTGACCAGCTGGTCCGGGATGCAGCGGAAAGAAGGGGCGGCGGGCATGGTGAAAGGGAGCAGGTTCTCCTCCAGGCTGGACCTGAATGGACACCTGCTCTCCTGCGCGCTCTGCTCCGTACCGACCTCATTGTGTCCTGAACAGTCTCTGAGCTCCTCGGTCACGCTCGCCTGCTCCCCCGAGACGAGCGTTTCACGTCGTAGTCGCCTCTGCAGCTCTAGCCTCATGAGCGTGTGGATGTAATGAGTCTGAACGCGGCGGGCGTCAAACTCGATGCGCCCCTGTACGTTTCCGCAGCTGTCCTTGGTGCATCCACAGGGGAAGTTAAAGCGGTCCACCTGTTGGTCAAAAGAAAACCAGTGACATTTTCTCAATAACAGCCTGTGAAATCATCAAATTCATCATTCATTAACTAATTTGTCTCATATGATTTGCAGGACATCTGCGCGTTTCTGGAAGTCAAATTTAAGACTTTTCAAGACATTCTTTTAATGTAATTTAAGACTGAAAAAAAATAAATATACTGTTTGGGAGATCGTGCTCTATTACAAAAACTCAATTTGGCTTTGTGCCAATGTTAAAGGTACAAAGGATAGCTAGTTGCTGGTAGCCTCAACCGCCGTGAGTCACAGAACGCAATGAAGACGCTGCATGTGACCCAAATGTTTGCTTGACAAAATTGTCCCAGGACAAAAACTACATGAACTACATGAAATAGTTCTGCTATGAGAAATGTAAGTCTTGTGTTTAGCACGTTTAAGGCCAAATTACACTTTTTAAAAATGAATTTAAGGTGGTAATTTTGGACAAAAAAATGTAAGACTTTTTAAGGGTGCGTGGACATCTTAGCTTTAGTGCTCACTGCTGTCCAGCACATATGGATGCAAGTTAGCGATTAACGAGTTGATCTAAAGCTGATTGATCTTATTGATGGAGTATTAATTGAGCTTTGTCATGCAGCTCCACTGAACGAGCGCTATGAAGGTGATGGCTTAAGGAATTTGTTGAGTGTTTACATTTCAAAACAGAACCGCAATAATCGCCATTTTGCATTCCACACTAGACTGTTTGGACCATTTCCTTTTTCCATTCTGTTATGGCCCCGCCATCTTTGTTTCTGTATCAACTAGCTTTATTTAAGAATGACCAACAGTGCCCTCAAATTACAACACTAAAAGAAGGTCAAAGCAGATGCTACAAGTTAATCAACTGGGACTTATTTTAATATGATAAACTATTAATCGACATTTGCATCCTTGTTGCAGACGTAACTTTTTTCAGGTTTTGTTAATATTTTCACAAGGCTTCGTAGTCCTAAACGCAAACACAACTTGCTGCGAGTCAGTGTTGTACCTGGCACTTGATGCCTGCCTGACTGCAGGCGCAGGTCTCCGGCTCACAGAAGCCCCGACAGTCGCAGCCGCAGGCCTCCCTCGAGAGACGCAGCGCGTGAAGCTGCCTCTTCTCCTCCTTGTCGATGACCTTCACCCCCGTTGCCAGGAGGAGAGCCTGCCGCTGTTTGGAAGAGAACGGCTGAAGGTAGCCTCCGTCCTCCAAATCAGACTCACTGACATGAATGTCAGGGTCTCCACCCAGAACTTGATCCCTCGTCAGCTTCTCCGCCTCGTTTTGGTCAACAGCTCCACTTATGATCAGCTGGAATCAAACACAGCAGCGGTTCTAGTTAGGGGAATCTTTGTGAGCGAGATCAGTGCAAAGCTTAGATCAAGAGCACTCACTTGGTGTTTTAGTGCCTCAAACCTCTCCTGAATTAGTTTCTCTCTGTGCCTCTCTCTGCGCCTGCTGCGCTGCTCCATGGCATGCTCGTCCACGGTGTACCTCCGGAGTGCGCTGTGTTTGCGCACCATGCCCAGGGTGGCACCTCCTCTGCTGGGCACGCTGGTGAAACCCTGGCAGAGGGGGAAGCTGAACACCGTCACCTGGTCGAAGCGCACGCTGTTCGGCCTTTTTGAGAGCTTCGGCTTCTTCAGGATGGGCCAAACTGGTAAGATAAAAAAAAAAAAAAAAAACATCACAAACATTCGATAAAGCAGTGAGCATTCTGTAAAGAAACATGTCTACAAATAAAAACGAAATATATTCCGCAAGTATCACCTTTTAAAACCACAAACCTCAAAGATTTAATGTATGTGATCTAAGTTGTAGCACTATTATCAGTATTATGAATGTATGCTTCTCAGAACTCTTATGTCATCTCATTATCAGTCGTGTTTTATTAGTCTTTCTAACCTACATCAGCTCTGCTAGCTCAACATTTTTATTGCCTTTTCCGTGCTTAATATTGTTTTTTTCATTCTTCCTATTTTGTCTTTTATTTGGTTGCCTCACCCTTTTACTTTATAGTACAGTAAGATACTTGGTGTCTGCAATTTCTGGCCAAAATGTTGAAAACCATGTATATTTTCCCACTGCATTGTGGGACATTTATTAGTACTGTGGTGTTTTGGCAAGAAGATTCTCTGCTTCAGTTCCAGATAAGATTAGGAAAAAGTTCAGGGATTATGAATCATTTTATATGGCATTGTAAATAAGCTGGCCATCCACAAAATTAGTGGTTCAGTTCATCTTCAGATACACAAAGCTTACAGATAATCACTCTGCAAGCACAACTAAAATACAAAAGATCTTAAAAGACTGATGAAGAACAAGTCTGACTTTTGCTGAAACCGTTGTAATTTCTAAAGCGGCCACTAGGAGGCGTTGGTACTGGTGCTTGGCTTCGTTTGGGGTCGACAGTTGAACACAAGTGAGAAGGAAATGCCAAGAAAGGCTTTTGTAAACAAGTCAGCTCCAGAAAGAAGATGAACTTCTTCCTTTTATTTTTCTCTGCAAAGTAATGAGACCCTCAGCGATCCACCACAGCGTCCGTGTTTGACCTCAGCAACAACACAAAACACATCCCAGTCGGAACCCCCAGCAGCAAAACGTAAAGAAAGGCGAGCCCAGCTGGTTGACTTAGTATGATCTGCTCTGTTTGTCTGAACACATCCAGTCTAAATCTGTTAATCCTCGACTGTGCTGTATTGGCGGTGTTTGTCCTGAGGAAGAGATTACTGTAACCTTTCTGAAAACATCCTCATAACCCCGGTGTTTGTTTCCACACCAGTGTCCTCACTGAGCCTCAGTCATCCCTATTTTTTTTAATTTATTTTTGGTGCAGGACAAGCAGTGCTTTATTCTTAATATGATGGAGTTAGATCTTCTTGTTTGTATTTGCTTTTTTTTCTGTGTTTTCATTTCCTTCCTCTCTAAATAGCTGAGTTCGCTTCTTGCGTTTGTGAGGATTATTTGGTTGTCTTCTTGCTCTCCATAGAGGGAAGGAAGTAGTTGGGGTTTTATTTGTTTGGGAGTTTGATTTTTCACCTTTTTTATTTGTCATTTCAACATATTTTTACGACATCTTTTGTGTTTAAATGCGTCTCCAGTTCGAGATTGAACAGGAGAATTGACGTCGCCGATGAGCGACAGCGAGAGCAGCCTCCTATTTGAAACGACTTGTTTTAAATGATCCTGCTATTCAAATTGATCCCACTACTTCTTATTGCTCAAGCAAATGATATACGCTCTGCAGGAGCAGGTCCCTGTCTGCACATCTTATCTGCAACGGGGTTTAAAGGCTGGCGTTTTAAACATATCAGGCAGTCATAACTCCTGCTCCGCGTTGATAAGAGACACTCCTATAAAACGCCGGTGAGGAAATGCGCCGATAGGGAAGGCGGTTTGCATTATTTGAAAGAAGAGAGGAGGGGAACAAACGCGAGCAAGACTTACTGGGCGATCCGGAGGCTGACGTAGGACTGTGAGGTGTGAAGTCCTGGTTCTCGGAGGAGCTTCCCTCCCCATCCGACTCCCACTCAGAGGAGGCAGGAGAGGAGAGGGATGATGGAGAAGCAGAAGAAGAAGAAGAGGAGGAGGAGATGGAGGAGGGAGGGGAGTAGCAGGGATTTTCCTCTACTTCTGCAAACTTCCTCTTAAGGATGTCTCTCATTGTTTGGCTGTGGCGGTTGCTAAACGTTCTGCATGAACACAGGAGAAACAGAAACACAGGTTTAAATAACATTGTGTTGTAATAAATGTGCAGCCTAATAATGGAGGAGTTTTTGGATTTCAAATTGAAGTGCTTCAAAGTCCTAAAAATACCAAAGCTAGTATTCTGTAGCAAAACACACTGCTGCCCCTCCCCAACCTGCTGCTGCATACTTACTCCTTGTGCATTAATCCAAAACGTGTGTTGTTTATTATAGGATCTGCAATGCTTCAAAACTTCTAAAGATCGAAGCTAATGCTAATTAGCATCTGATAATCCCTCCTAAAATATATAGGACGAAAAAATTCATTCACTTTCTGTTTTTGTTTTGTTTTTCTTTTCATGTTGAAATTAAGTTGTATTTAGAAAAAAAAGAACATTTTAGGGTTCAGTTTCAAAATGCCAGTAAGAATGTGGTATTCCTGGTGAGAAGTTTACCTAATACCATGTAAAAAATAAGCATTATCTAATGATTGGTAGTATTTCTATGGTAAAGTTTGTATGAGCACTTTTTTTGTAAGTGTTAAGGTGAGACTTTAAACTAAGGGGGAAAATAACCTGATTAATTAGCCAGCTCATATCAGTATAGAAAACAAATTTGATAATATATACATTATTCTGTACACTAAAGATAAATTTAAGAGGTGTTTTTTTTTATTTGTGTCTATTTGTCAAAGATACAATAACATTTATTTTGTAGAAAATATTATTCCAAATGTAACATTAAAGTCACATAAGAAGAAATAATTGATGCCTTTTTGTTTGGAATGAAAACAGACCATGTTTAAATGTGTATATTTGTTTTTTTTCACTGTATATTTTGTCAAAGTTATGATACTGTAACAATCTCATATCAATGAACAATGACACTAAATACGCTTTGCACTTTCTTTTTTTTTTCTTTCGCAAATGACAACTTCAGGAATGAGAAGCACTTCCTGGAGGAACCGGTTCCCAGCCACCAGTTTGTTTAGGCTAATTCCATCTTGATAGTGATTCACCTAGAAACTAAACATGTTTCACAAGCTAACTCGAAAAATTCTCCTCTCACTTACAACTAGCCGAGCTCTGAGGAGACTCAACAGTGGCAAAGTGACTTCACGACTCTTCTTTCGTTTCCCTGCAAAGTAATTAACATTCCAGTGATTCCTTAAGTTTTTTGTTTGTTTGTTTTGTTTTTGGGAATAATACATGGAAACAGAGCGTCCAGCGGTTGTATGCTCAGGGCTGGGCGATCAAGAGGCTGCTATATTTGGATACGAACATGGAAAACGAATCCAAACAGGAGCGCTCTGAGGGAAACAGATCTCAGCCGAAGAGAGCGCTGAAAGAAAGGGCTGCCGGAGAACAATGAACATTTTCCCACGGAACGAAGTGAAACACAAGGTGCAAATTTTATTTTTCTTTGCAACATTTCTTTTCTTATAATGGCGCATCACTTTTCTCCACTTTGGAGAAAAGAAGCAAAACAAAAAACAAATGTACCGCAATCTATTGTGAGTAGAGAGGCACTAATCAGGCTTTTTGGGATCTGGTTTTCTTTTAGGCCTCACTTCTCAATTTTAAATTTGAGTGATTCCTGTTTTTATTTTTTAAGAACAACTAGAAAACAATATTAGAACCTTTTATGCATCAAAGCACGTCTTTACATGCATCTACAGTTTCATAAACTAAAACTTTGCTTTGAAATACAAGATGTTTGTTGCAAACGGTGGGAGGTCTTAGTTTTAATGCATTTAAGGAATTAGCAAGTATTCAGCGTTTAACTTGCACATAACCAGGGCCGGATTTAGAAGAATAAGGGCTGGTGGGCCGAAGCTTGTTGTGGTGCCATATTCCAGAAAAAAAATCTAATATTTTATTTATGTAAATTACATAACATCAACAGGTAGGCCTATACATTTGATTAATTGGTTTAAAATGTCCAGTAAACGTCTTCACTTTGGACTTGAAAATATGATGAACTTCAAATATTTGAATCAAGTTTAAATTGATTAAAAAAAAATCCAACACTAAAAAGAAAAACATCACATGTGAAATGAGCATATGACTTTAAAAAGTTTTTAAAACATTTTAAAAACATTTTTAAAACATATACGGCAGACACTTTTTGGGGTGGGGGGCGCCCCTCTTTCTTCCAAAATGCTTGATGCCCTGGGCTACTGCCCTTGTAAGGTCTGGTTTATCACATCACCAATTTAAATTCCTGAATTTAAATATAATAAAATATATTTAAATTCCTGAATTTAAATATAATAAATTATATTTAAATTCCTGAATTTAAATGTAATAAATTATATTTAAATTCCTGAATTTAAATGTAATAAATTATATTTAAATTCCTGAATTTAAATGTAATAAATTATATTTAAATTCCTGAATTTAAATGTAATAAATTATATTTAAATTCCTGAATTTAAATGTAATAAATTATTTTTAAATTCCTGAAATTAAATGTAATAAATTATTTTTAAATTCCTGAATTTAAATGTAATAAATTATATTTAAATTCAGGAATTTAAATGTAATAAATTATATTTAAATTCAGGAATTTAAATGTAGTAAATTATATTTAAATTCCTGAATTTAAATATAATAAATTATATTTAAATTCCTGAATTTAAATGTAATAAATTATATTTAAATTCCTGAATTTAAATATAATAAATTATATTTAAATTCCTGAATTTAAATATAATAAATTATATTTAAATTCCTGAATTTAAATATAATAAATTATTTTTAAATTCCTGAATTTAAATGTAATAAATTATATTTAAATTCCATTGAAAAATTGTCGACTCTAATCTGTGGCTGCTTGATTGTTTCACCTCTGAACAAATGTACAGCTTGTACTAAGAAGCTAAAGTAGATAATTCACTTATAAAGAAAAGCATATTATAACACAGCTCAGTATGAATTAATGGCCTTTATCTTGCCCAAAGTACTGCATAATAAGTAAGGCTTTCTGGTGGCTTGAACAGTGAGACTGTATTAACAGAAGACAATGTCCTGGATTCATTTTTTTTTAAACCCCAGAGGTGAAACAAGAGACAACTCAGTCAGCTTCTTTAGGAAGAACACTCAAACAGTGAAACTCCCCGCATGACAGTGTTTTTATCTCTCCTGCGAAACAAATGTTTCCACAGATTTAAACCCAAAAGAAACAGTGGCAGCGTTTTCCAATTAATACTGCGGCACAGAGGAAGTGTAAGGACAGCCTCCTGTCCCAGTTCCATCCCATTTATTACATATCTGACAGAGCAGAAAGACTCGCTGCACATCTAGGTATCCACTGAGACCGCATCAATAATTTAAAGGTTCAAAGCAGCGCCAGCAGAACACTGTGCACGTGCGCGTGCACGCGGACCAGAAGACCGACCGTCAATAAATTCATGTTCTGACGACGTTACACTGTTACACTGCTGAGAATTACTTCTTCTTCTTTCTTTCTTTTTTTCTTTCGTGCGCCCTGCAGGAATGCTGCGCGCATGTCACACTGGGTTTGCACCGAAGCAGCGCAGGGGTCGTTTCCTGTTTGGCATAATAACAGTCATTAGGCAGCTGACCTCCTGACCTTTTCGCCGAGGAACAGCGCGAGCACACATGCACGCACGCACGCGCTTTACCAGCGCTGGGTTCATGTCAGCCACAATGACAACAGTGTTCCCCGCTTTCTGTGCGCCGCAAACACTGCTGTGCCACAGGCTCCATTTAAAACTGGGCACATTTCCAAAGAGACTGCTCCACAACACCACCGCCATAAACTTCATGAAACAACAGCTGGAAGTTTCTAGAAAGTTCATATGTTCATTTGAATCATAAAAAACGGTAAAGCTGCCAATAATTACCAATTAATTGCCCATAAGTCATATTCACTTTAGCGACATATTTATCATTAAAACGAGTTGGCAACTATGACTGAACAAACTACAAACTGTAGCAACCCCATGTTGATATTTCTTTGTAGGTTACTTACCATAAAGTAAACCTGGCATGCTAGTGAAGAGGGTCCGAGACTGTCACGAAGTTATAGCTCTCGGCTGCCGTCGGGCCAGCTGAGCATTTTGTTCTGTTTATGTGAAGCTGCACAGTAGTACTAGTGTGAATATGAGAGGACTGGCTGGGAGCAGCCAAAGGCCCAGACTGGGTCAAGATAGTTCACCGCTCTGGAACCGCCTGGAATCTCGCACCTGCGCACAAGTGCCCGGGTCGTTAGCTATGCTAACAGCAACGTCACCACTTCCTGTGTATCACGACTAAGCCAACGATGAAATAATCATTAGACCTCAAAAACATTTTTGGACAGTTTAATCTTTATGTTAGACTTTAGCCCGAGCTAAAGAAAACCTTCACATTTTTCGAAATAACATTTTAGGTTAAGCGAAGCAGGAAGCGCCGCGCAGAGCCTCCTCTTGTTCGTGACATGTTCTTCTTCTTTGTGGCTTCTCTGTCTGTCCTGACGCAGACTGTGACACTCATGACTCTCGGTGCTGCCCACAGATTCCTGACTGTTGTGTTCACACTGGAGCAGTTTGCGCCAGTAATGACGAGCTAGTAAATAAAGAACCTTTAACCCTCCAGCTGGTGACTGGGAAAACAGCCCAGGGTTTACACTTACCTCTCCTGTTTGCTTAAAGTGAAAAAGAAGAAGTTCATTTAGTGGATGTTAATAAATGTGTAGTAACGATCATGAGTGAAGTCTGGAAATTTACTTTGATTGAGAACAGCGCTTTATCTGTCCAAAAGGATTTTAACGGGATGGTCACAGATATTCTTGGATGATACACAAAAGCTAAAAAGTGTTTCAGGACTCAAAAAAAAAAAAAAAAAAAAAAAAAAAAAAGAAAATTGGTAAAATTTCAATGGCAGCTCTTCAAAATGAAAATTGAAACATAAAAAGTTTTATATTCCTCGTTGCAACTTTTAACAATATCACTCATGTTTGCAAGCATCTACAAACCCAGTAAATTAGATTGACTAAACAGTCGATTTATTTCAAGAACTTTATCCTTAATTGAACCACATTCTATGGATTAATTGCACAAGCCTTTAATTCTCTTATGATGTTTATCCCTAGCTGTTTTTTTAAAGCTAGTTAAAACATTACACTTAAAATTAGAATATGACCGCAGACCAATAAAACAAATATTTTTAAAAACAGAAATGTGGACTTAACATAAGTTGAATACCTGTTTAAAGGTTGATATTTTGCATATCATATTCGAGTTTACTGCATATGACTGTATATGCTGTGTCTACCCAAAACCCACTGACTGGGTGCTTGACATGCTTTTATGCATCCACATTTAACTTAACATCCCAAGTGATCTGAGCAACACTGTTTAATCATCCATTGAAAAAGGCAAAGAGCTTGACACCACTTCAACTTCTGTCCTTGTCTCAGTGATTATCCACATAAGACAGGATTCTCATGTCAATGTCAATGAATCAATCTTTATTTGTGTAGCACTTTATACACCCAAAGTGACCAATGTGTAAGAGGTATACGTTAATGAAAACAAAGATCTACTGCTAGTTGAGTGGCAATACAAAAGCCATTGTTAGAAGAAAGCAATAACAGATTTGACTTAAATGTTATCATTTATGGGGCTCAGAAAATATGTGGATTTTAGGTAAAGAAGTCCAGTTCGTTTCCTGTTCACATGGGGGACGCAACTGAAGCCCTCCAAACCTGCCACCAATCTGGTGATGAAGCGCATGTTTCTGGCGACACACTCTCTCCGGTGTTGGTGTTGCTTTTTTGAAACATGATTCCTCTAACGCCGCCGTTCCAGAAACTCCAGGAAGTCTCCTTCGGCGAAGAGACGCTTGCAGATGGAGACACGGATTATGGGTGTCGGTGCAAATCCGCAGAATCGTTTTGCTAAAAAAAAAAAAATCCTATTTTCAGATTTTTGGTGTTGAGCTTCATAAACAGATGCCAACGTGACTGAAGATTATTTATGCACATGACAGTGCCGGAGGAGAAATTTCAGTGCAAACAAAAAAAAAAAAGAAGAAGAAGAAAAAGAGAAAAAACTAGTGAGTGGAGAAAATTAAAGGATTAACATTCCAGTGCCTCTGCTTTTAAAGATAATCACAGGCTACTCTGCAGAAAGAAAAATGAAGCTGAGCTCTGGAGAAGACAGACAGAGTGCATCAGATAAACAGATGGATAGACAAGATGAAGGGAAAGACTAAAACACCAAACGAGCCTGCGGTTTGACCTCCACGTTGATATGCCTCACTCCGACAAGTTGAATAAAAAAGAAATTGCTCTGGATGCCTAAGTATCTGTTAGTCCAAATATTCTGCCCAGAGGACAGACAGACAGGCTGCTGACCTCAGCTCTCCGTGTAAGTGTGTTACGAGAGAGTGACCCACTTTAGATGGGATCACCACAGTGCACTGCACTCACTTCGCTCCGCTGTCAGTGACCTGTGCGAGGAGTAAACACCAGGGAGGATCAGTACAGTGAAACGGCACAAACAGGTAGCAACACGACGGACTTTCAGCTGATCCACGCCGTGCATCCTGGTGCCATTCACTCGCAGCACATGATCAAAGAGTTCTGTTAGGCTTTGAGGCTATTTATAGGACAATTGCACTGCCTGGACCAAAAATACATACGCGCAATACAGTTGGAGTTTCCTGTTGCCCAAGCAGGCTGTCACACTGTGACTTGCATGCGTCCTAATGTGTCAGGAAGGGGGGTGATGTGGGGGTGGATCCTTTTTTTAGCCTGCGCTCTTACAGAGTAAAGAGAACAGAAACGAGTCATGCTGGAAAATGAATGTGTTACTTCAGACTGCAGTGATGACCTGAGTGGAGCTAGACCAGCAATGGCATACGTAGAGTGACTGTTTTGCTTATTAACTGTATTAGCGCGACAACGAAAGTGTCAACTGATCCAGACTCCTGACCAGATTTCTTAACATGTCTGCCAGTGATGTCATTGCTGGTTTTCCGAGGTTCTTCGTACAACTTTCAAAAGTCTCAAATTCATGCATCTGACTGGAGGCAGTCGAGGTCGTAAACACAATAAAAAGAAGAATAAATAAGTAAATAAGTAAGTATTTATTATATCTATGGTAAAGGCTACTAGTAACTTGCTGCTAATATACCCTTGCTGGCTTGCGGCCCTATCTGCCATGGGTAATTGCAAACGTATCTTACACTGCCCGAACTGGGCCAGGTGCATTCTGGGCGTTTTACAATCTAGCACAATCTGTGCCTTAAATTTCATTCAAGGCATGATGATCATTTGAAAAAGAAGTTTCATTCAAGTTGCCATTGAAAGTTGCTAACTTTGACTTGCTGAAACCTGCAGACACCCTGTGTTTTCTCAACACTGGCACACACAGATCTATTCAGTGCCCATTAATCCTGTCTGCAGCGAGAACAAACCACAAGTGGGCTTTCAGTCCACATTACGTAACCTTACGTTTAACCTACATTCTGGCTGCTGCTCAGGTTGCTGCCTGCCTGCCTGTTGTAGCCCGGTTTCCTCTAGTCAAGCTGTGCCAGCGATGGCCCACATACGGCCACGTTCCGACAAAGTCTGACAGGGCTTCGGTGCGAGTGAAAATCTGCCCCAATTCTGTTCCTGTTTGCTGTGAACGCGACTTCAGGGGTTCACCCCGTTTCCTGGACCACACCGCTCACCCTCAGTTTTCTCTCCAGGAAGCATCGGGGTTGTTCTGTGATGGAGTCGGGGCAGTAAAATTTCCTGTTGCCCCTGACTCAATGGAGGGGCAGAAAGACAGAGATTTCTAAAGGCTTCTGATGTCACACTAACAGTTGTCACCATGGACACGGAGCAGATATAAACCAAGGGTTTCTATTTTAGAAGGAATGTGATGAATCACCAGCTTGCTTCCATCAGCAGCATTGTGAGCATCAGTACCGTCATCATTTCATCATGGCAACATGAGTGTAATCCTTTGCATCACAGGAAAATAGATGAATAGATGAAAGTCCTTTAAGGGTGCAGTCCTTAAACTTTTCCACATTTTGTCCTGCTACCACAAAGTGCTTAATTGCGAAGAGGAAGAAAAATGGTGAATGATTTTCAAATTTATACACCACTGTTTCCAGAGGACAAATGTGACTGTAAACCGATGTTGGTTTCCATCAGCAAGATTTAAAGGTCAGGCCCTAGATCTCTTATTAAAGTGCATGCATTATTCAAAAGTCACATTTGATACATTTTTGTACTTCCATTTGGATCTGAAGTTCTTAGAGCAACATCCACTTGATTTTTGGCAACAAGTAATTTGTTTTGTTTTTGGTGTAAGGAAAATGAGCTGCTTCAAAAACCTCTTGGATGTAATATCACAGATCAGCAAGCACTGTCTGTTACCTAGCAACCCCAGCAAAGCCCAGTCCATCACCTGGCAACCCAAGCGAAGCTGCAGCCGCTTTGGTTGGCTACTTTAACACTGTAAGCGTCGTGCAATGGCTGCTGGAAAAGACACGTGGTTTGTTGTTGTCCAGAAACCACTTGCTGCATACTTGTTGGTTCTACAGGAGGCTCCACTTCTGCTTTTCAAAGATGTACGTTGTACGTTGCGCATCTGTTTGCTGACATTTTCACAGTGTAACTGTGGAGCTGGGGCGCGAGGCCAGCAGCAGGATTTAAAGTGACAAGACGCCCTAAAACAGATAATTCTAAAAAAAAAAGAGCTCAAAACTGACAGAAATGAGCAGACGGAAACCTGATCATCCAAAGTGATTGTGCAAAAAAAACAAAAAAAAACAATAGACATGTTCTGAATGGCCCATAGATCCATCCTAACTTGTCCAAGAAAGCTTAAAAGTTACTAGGAAATGCTTTATTGCAATTCTCTGCTCTAAAAAGCCCATTAAAAAAAAATTTCTGGACGACTTTAAACGGTACTTGAAAGCAAAGTAATGCATGAGAATGTCTCTGTGGTTTCAAAATGTCAACAGATAGAGACGTGGATCAAATTTCCAGCTAGTGACAGTTTAAGTGCTGTGACATCTGCCTTTGTTTGGTCTGAGGAGGTGGTGAAACCGAGAGCTTCCTGTGACTCTAATGGCTCGGACTGGATCCGTGCCAAGTGTATCAGCATCTTACAGCTTATTCCCCCGTGCAACACGGCTTCACACGTTCATGTAAAAGGCGACAGTGCTCAGCTGTTGACTATAGACAGCTAATTGCATGAAGGAAAAAAAAACGGCACATCTTGGCAGCATGTCCTTGCGGTGTGAAACACCATCCAGGCATCGCGACGCTGCAGAAGCGAGAGCAGCTGCTGCCCACGTTCCAAAGTAGGTTACACAACTGAAAAACTTTCAACTGAACTGATCTTATCTGGCTGTACAACAAAGCAGCAGCATGAATGGGTTTGACACCCCTCCTCCAACAACGAGCCTCTTGTCAACAAGAGAGCTCTGGTGACCTTTCTTGTAAACTTTCGAACTTGGACACGAGATGCATTGTGGGGACAAAAGGCATTTCCATTGCACACACACACAAAATAAAATTGATGTTCATCACTAATTAGAGATGAATTTCTTCCCTCTGCAGTTTAGCGATGCACCTGCACTAGAGTGGAGGAGTCATTAGCTTGAGCCTGGCTGTCAGCAGTAGTCTGGGAGCTCCTGTTTTCTCTCTGGCTCCCGGCGCAGCGTGCTCTGCTCTCGGCGGTGCTCACATGCGGCTCCATGTGAGCCTCCTGCAGGAACAGGCAGCAGCTGGAGGAAGGAGACCTGCTCTGTTGTCAGCTGTTTGAGCCTGAACTGACTGCTCTGTGAAACTGGGAGTGGGTGAGCTCTGGGTGACTCCCCAACGCCCCCCTCAAATGTTCATTGCCCTTCTTCTTCTTCTTGTTCTTCTTCTCCACTGCAGCTGGGGAAACACATGCAGAACAGACAGACAAGGAGTCTCTCATTTAGCTCAGTAATGGAGCCCCTTGTTAAGAAGGGGCTCCATTACTGCTGGAGGCACCAAAGCTGATCTGGAAAATAGAAACTAATCTTTCATGCCTGGGTATCTTTTGCAGCCTTCAAATGGCTGTGAAGTGCACATCCATGCACAAGGCATACACAACAATAACGTATATAAAATAAAATTAAGAAACACAAAAAATAATGCTCTTCCTGTTAAACAAGAACCTATCACTTTTTCATGGGGCCAGTCATGTTGGTTTGGCGCCATCTTTTGGTCAATGAAGGAAACATCCATATGCCCAGTCTCTTTTTTATTTATTTATTTATTTTTGAATAATGCATTTCATGGCTGTCTAGAACACTATTTTAACTTTAGGTTTGTTAAATCAACTATCTAACAAGAAACGACTACCTGAGAGAGTTTTTTCATTGTCATTTTGTTATTGAAATTTAATGCAATTATCCCATGAAAACAAAAACCTGAAACAATTGCAAAACCCTGCATTTGTTCATATGTGTATATTGGGGGGGAAAAAAAACGTGTTGGCTCTTTGTCATTTTTATCTTCAGTCATTTAGAACCGTTGTTGAATGTCCAAAGAGCCATCGCCTCAGTGTGCCGCATATTGCAATACATAGTAGAGGTAAAATCTCAGGAAGTAAATTGTTTTAACATTAAATAGTCCCATTCGGCCTGAGCATGAAAGATCAATAGACAGATGTCTGAGCATTCTTCGACACCTGAGCAAGGAAGGACGTCTTGCAAAACTTCTCCTGGGTTAAAAAAAGATGCTAAAGAACCCAGCACACAGAACATTCCTGAACACACAGCCTCACGAAGGCCAAGAAACACGAAAGACAGGCCAGGAAGAAAGGTGTAGGGAAGTCTAAAGCAGGGATACGCTACAAAATGTCATCTCAAGCTTAGAACATCATTTATAGACAATCGCCTTCGTCAGAGCTACCAAGACGCTCGATGCAACTCTCGGAGAATCATTGTGAATCAGAGATGTGTCTTAATAAAAAGGCTTGAGGAAGATGATCCCCACTTAAGCTAGAAGCTAGCTTGGTAAAACGAAGCCCCTTGTACTACGCCTTGCTTCAGACAGAGGGTCCGGACCCTCGGATATTAAGATATGATAGCTTCCTGGAGGTGTGGGCTATGCAGACGTTTTAAACTTTATTCAATAGCCAACATTTTTCCATGAGGTAAGTAATGCACCAGTTCAACGTTGTGAAGCTTACCCGCTAACATGAACGGAACGGCATTTTTCACTTCCTCCGCTGCCACTGCTAAAACTACAGATGTGTTACAATTCTAAAACAATGCAGGAAATCAACATCATCGTTCACGACTCATCCTGCTTGCTGATCAGACCAGTAGAAATGCTACCAGAGGAATCCAAGTCAAAGGTAGAAAGCCCAGACTGAGCTGTAAAGTGAGATGATTGCACAGGGGGGCAGTGGCCAGGCCAGCACACACCCCAAAAAACCAGCAGCTCTAATTATAGGAAGTATTCAAACGCACAACACACTTTTCAGGCTAGTAATCGCAAAGAACCTTGAAAACCATTGCTTTGTTCTTTCTTTTCACAATTATTAGCCCCTTCGACGCCGTATTACACAAAATGCTCTGAGATTTGTGGCGACAAAATGTGGATCAGGTAAATTCATCAGGTGATGCTGTGATAAAAAAAAACTGTCATTTCCGTGTCTTCCTGTATCACAAGGTGTGAACGGACTTTGGCCACCAGAAATTGCTGTGTCTTGTGAGAGATGCTCCAAAAGGCACAAATCAGACAGAAGGACAGCAATCGGCAAGCGGCTGCCTCCTCTTCTTTGTCTTCTTCCACTCCTCCGGTATGAGCTTTTCGTTTGATTTGTCAGATAATTATCGTGTCATAAATGGTGTTGTAGCTGCAGGCTTCTAGAAATAAATTCATACAGAACTTCTAAAGAGTTCTGTAAATGTTTTATTTCTGAATTAATTAATTTAAAGCAGGATAGAGCTTTGTCTTCACTGAACTTACTCACACCGAGTCTTTGGAAAGACCAAATCATTCGCTGTTTGTGCAGTCAGATGCAGTGGTATACGGCTTGATTTGCTGTGGAAGTGACAGAGTTTATAAACATTAACGGAGTCATATGACCTTCAGAGTCTCAGCCTGTTACAGAGTAACTCCAGTAAAGTTAAACCTCAGCTTTATGATTGATTGGCAATGACTTTTGGGGGGGATTTTCATTCAACCAAGCCATCAAAACAACATTGATCAGCTTTAAATGTATCAGTGCGTTGTTGGGAGCTGAGGGCATGATCGGTAGTGAAATGTTTGAACTCTTCTTTCCTCATTGGCAGCTGTTTGTAGAGACACTGCGATGGAGACGTCTGGCCTGAGGAGGACTCAGTCCCTCAAGAGTCTCTCCGGGACCCAGGAACGATCATGGGTCGCATCGTCGACGGCAAGCTGGAACAGGAAGTCTGTCTCCCAGCTGGTGCAGCAGTAAGGCCACAACTCGGCGAAGACATTCCTAGGATCCGGCAAAAGGTCAAAAAAGATAAATTTGCCTATTTCCTCCCCCAACAGTTACCAAAGCTGTGCAGACCTAAGGAGTTCAGAAAAAGCAGAGCAAGGATTTGAGGTAGGGCTCAAACGATTAATCGTATGAATTGATTATTGAAATTATTGTCCACTAATATACTAAACAATTAATAATTAGCTGGAGTTAGAAAAAAGCCCATTTGCTAAAAGAGCAACACCTTCATAGCAACAATTAAAGCAAAATTTTGAAAAATATATATACATCTCACATTTAAGATAAAAAAAACTTTGTCTGTAAGGAACTTCCAGTCAAAACAACTCATAAAGTCTACAAATTGATTCTGTATTGATTTTCAGTCAAGCAGAAAAGCTCAAACCTTTCATATGTTGAAGTTTGAAGTATTGAGCTGCGGTTGCATCTATTATCAAGTGATCACTAAAGCAACACTATGTTAAAATAAACATTTTTGGGCAGTTAAATGTTTATTTTGTCATTTAAATATTGAGTTGAATTATTTGCCATTCTGATGGATTCCTATTACTGAATAAAAAAGCTTAAGTGATTAAGTGGAAAAATCAGCAGAATGTGTCAATTCATCTGATTCAATTAATCGATTATCACAATTATCAATATAATAATCTATTACTAAAATTAGCTGCAGCCCTAATCTGAGGCGAGACTCAAGAAAAAAAATAAAAGAAAAAAACACCCAAAAGTCATTGCGTGTCTTCAGGAGTCAGTAACCTGTGTGGACAGTCGTTGGAAGAGGCCGGACAGCAGGGACTCTGGGAGCTTCTGGACTACTCTGTCCAGGAGTCGCTCCATGGACTTCCTCCCGCAGAGAGAGACTTCTGGCACCAGAGCTCTGCGGGCGCTGTTCGAGTCCAAGGCCGGCCGGCAGCAGGACGACCACAGCGGCCTCTGGCCAAACTCCCCGTCCTCAAACGTTGGTAAAGCAGCTGGAGACTGTCCTCTGCAGGACTGGAGGAGCTACAACACCTCTCCCAAGGAAAGTACGATTCAGGTAAGAGACGGTGGCTGTTGAGAGTATATGGAGTTGGCCTAAACAAAGTCCTGCCTCTTTATTATGCTCCCTGAAACAGGTCAGGTTAGGTCATTGGGCTGAACAAACATGTTTACTTTTTTTTTTTTTTTTTTTTTTACAAAATCATCCTTACATAATAAGATTTTAGTCTGCTCAGTTCTCCCTGGTTTAGAGTGTCTTGTCACTTTAAATCCAAATAAGTTGCTTCTGGCCACGCCCCCAAAATCAACGTTTACACTGGCACAAAATGGCTGCAAACAGATGCGCAATTATACAACGGTACATCTTTAAAAAGCTTTATAGAGCCTCCTGCACAACCAACACTTGTTATTGACAAAACACTTGTCTCTGTTAAGCTGGGGTTTCTAGGTAACAGCGCAGTGCCCATGTAACGCAACAATCTGGAGGTTTTTGAAACGACTCATTTTCCAGACACCAAAAACATGAACTTTTTGCCAAATAACAGCAAAGCCTGCGTCTGTGTCATCTGCCACGACCGACTCTGGTCTTTGACATGACAGAGCAGACACACAGGGTTCAACACAGAAGGACAGAGACAGGTGCATCATCCATAGGAAGAGGACATGAAGTTATGGGCAGCAATAGGTCAGCTGTCAGTCCCCAGAAAGGTGTCACAGCTGAACAGAAACACCAGGCAAAAACAGAGAAGCAGCATGACGCTAACATCAGAAATAACAAAAATGGAGAGTAGTAGGAGAATGTGGGTGTGTCGACAAAACAGCCAGAAAAGACATGTTCTTTGATCAAGGAAGCAAAAAGAAACTCTTTTTAGAAGTTTTTTTTTTTTCATAAGTTTTTATGCAAAATCCACTTTCAATATCTACAACATGCTTTTAAAAGTAGCTAGCTTCAAAAGGCTAACCTCATTCTGCAATACTGTTTCTGTTTCTTTTCTCATACAGCATTCATTTAGATCTGAAGTGACTTTTAGTGTACTTTTATTAGCTTTCACAATGACACATTTTATGTAGCACATATTTAGTAAACAGTTTTTTGCAGCTCCAGGGAAGTTTTATTTTGTAGCATCAGGGGCAAAAATGTCTCTTTGGATAGAAAAGGTGGCTGAACCCTAAATTAGGATAGTCTAAGCCACTCTAATCAACTAAACGTTTTATTTTTTTAAAAAACCCAAAACTTTAGGCTTAGTCTTAATAGTAGACAGGAAGTGAGGTCAGAACATGAAGGACAGATTAACTACACTTCTTGTCCACCCACAGAGAACGACCCAGGTGGATGGCCGAAAGGCTCCGAAGGGCCTCCCAGAGAGTCACAGACACACGTCCAGACACGCACATGGTGAGCGGAGCCATTTCATATTGTGTGAATCCTCACTGACATCTAAGAAGACAGGCGGGATCCGCGTCTGAACCCCCTAAAAGCCATGATTTATATGCATACCTGGGCGTGTCAATGTGCAACCAGCTGCCCCTTCCTTTAAAATACAGTTAATGTGTTTGTTCTTGGGAACATGGGGGCACAACAGCGCTTTCATATCTAGATTTGCTCAGGGTATCACAAAGATCTATGTTTAGATTTCAGCAAATACACAATCCACCTTAGTGGGATTTAAAGTGTCATGGGGTGAATCTTGAAAAAGGTCGTTGAGCGGTGACCCCTGTGCTGTTTTCATGGGGAGAAGCTAAATAAAGACAAGGATGTTGTGGTGTAGGTACATAGCTATGTGTCCTGCACACAGGCTCAAGATAGGAGTGAGGCCATCGCTGACAGCTCTGTCCGCCATGCGGACCTCGGCCCAGTAAGCAGTGGAACTGATATTGCTTAGGTTCTCTGACGTCTTCGCCCTGCAATGTTGGTTAGTATGAGTAAGGGAAAGGCAGAAGGGTGAATGGGCATCTAAAGGCAGGATGTGCTGTCTGAAAAACAAAAACATAAAAACATTAAAAGTGCTTACCAACAACAGGAGGATGTTATCCTTATTCAGGACCTGCTGGAAGTATTCAGAATGTTTATTTTATCCATTTTTTTTTTGTTTGTTAGCATCTGAATAACGATTTGAATTTGCCACCGACTTACAATTTTGGTCAGTCGCTAACCAAAATACAATTCACTTCCATTGAAAAATAATCTATTGATCCCAACAGAAAAAAAAATGCTGTTGTAAATCATAGAAATTGAAACATACTCAAAGAGTTAATTTCGATGGTGATGGACGCTCTCCTGTAGCAGTCTGTGTTACAGCAAATTTTAAGAATCAAAAAACCCGTTTTTTTCTATAACCTACTTCTATAACTCTATCTTTGACATTCATATTGCTCTCCATCCTAGCAGACTAATCTTCACCTCTTTTGTAAAGAAAAATGTATCAAAATTTCACCTTTAGATCTGGAAAGACTGCATCAAAAGCTGATTCTACAAAGAGTCGACTCAGGGTGGCACTGTGTTGATCTGTCACATCCTGATAAAACACATTAAAACGTTTGACTGTTATGTGATAAAATGGAACGAAACTCACACAACTAATATTTTTGCAAGGCCCTGAATCGGTCGGACCGTTAGTTGCCTCGACCACTCGGCTAAAATAGAGCCTTCCGTGACTTCCCGTGTGTTATTTTAACATGCTCCCCCCTATCCACCACACACACACACACACGGTCCCACCCAGCGCCCGTAATAGTGGGTGACAATGCAGCTGTGGGACAGGGAGGTGGTGGGGTGTCCCAGTCTATCAGTGACCAACAGGGGTGACTGAGTCAGGCCCGTAGCAGCAGCCAGCCCACTGTCCCAAAATAGCCAAAGTTCTGACGCTGGGACAGATAAAAATCAGCTGTCCTCGAGAGCTCAGGACTAGAAAGGCTCAGTCAGCGGCTCGCAGGAAGAGAGGAGACAGGCTGGGCGGCACATCGCAGGAGCTTGAGCGTTTAGACAGCAGAGACGCGGGGAGGTAACGGTGAACAAGGCTGGACAGTGTTTCTGTAAGTATACGTTCAATTAGACTGAATGGGAGATGATGATAGACAGATGTGAATATGTAAGAGAAATTATTGTGTTTCGTCCAATTTCTAATGTCTGTTTTTGCTGATTGTGACCAGCAAATAAGGATTTTCTTCACTCAGTCCATGAAGCATATAAGACAATCAAATGGAGATTCTTATCTGTAATCAGTTAATGATTATTCTACTCCTCCTAATTATGAACACAAAGGCTGGCATTAATCAGATATTCAGATCGGGTCTTTCAGCGCTAAATTATTAGAATCTCTATTTGTTGCAAAACTTTTCCCTGATTCTGATTTCTATGCACTGCAGCTCTCAATATGGGCTGTTGCATAAGAAGATAACTGAACAATGCAGGAAAATATGCTTTCTTTCCTTCCTTTGTTGAACCATCATGAATGACTTTTTGGAAGAAGCGACGTCATACTGCCGTGTGAGAGCGTTCCCTGTAAAACAGGGTTACTCTGTAGTTTTAAAACAAGAAGAACATTTTGTTGTTATTGATAGTTTAAGCTACATTCAACGTCGCACAGCAGCTGCTGGCTGTGTTTGTCGCCTTGAGAATGTAGATTGCTACCGTCAATTTCTATGACCACAAAAACAACGAAACAGGGCAAGTTTGCTGTTCTGTATCGAGCCTTCCTGTTTTCCATTGACAGTCTTGCTCTCTCAGAGATTGAATGGACTGTAGACATGTTGTAGACAACACAATTTCCCTTTTAAATTAACTGCTTCTTCCGAACTCATGTAAATCACCTCGCCATCTTTGAATCCTCATCCCTCAGTAAGAGCTTTCACACCTGAATGTAAATGTTTTAGGTTGTGGCTTTCTGTTGACGTTCATTTACTGTCCCAACCTGTAGGTCGATGTCATTGACAGGTTTTGGACCAGTTAGTCACAGAGTTGGGTTGTAACTCGTTACATTTAGTCATTTACATTTACTTGAGTGACTTTTTGGAAAAGAAGAAAAACTTGTCGGAGTGTTTTCACTACGCCGTGCTTTTGACTCATTTTATTATGACGCGTCACTATGACTAATCTCTGGATTCTCTATCCAGTGAAGTTCACTGAATGAAGAACAAACATGTTTTATTCTTTATCTTTATATTGGAAGAAATTCATTTGGAAAAATGTTTCTTTTGCCCAATTTTGTTATTCTTTGCAATCACGTCACCTATATGAATTATTTTCAGTTTGGGCTTTAAAATACCAAAATTTCCACATAACTTTATATTTTGGTCCATATGATGATGTGATTTTTAAATATTAAATTATCAATATTTTTGAACAGTTAATATTTGAGTAGATTTTTTTTAACCAAATAATTGCTTAATATTACTTAAGTAATATCTTCAATTGTTATTTTTACTTATATTTAAGTGAAAATATGTTGAAGTAGTTCTACTTGGCTACTCTGGTAGGTCAACATTTATGGCCCAATTAGGCTGAAAGCTGTAGATTTTGTTCATTATTTGTAGATATTACCTCAAAGCAAGAGTAGTAAAACCCAACTTTGCTTATATTAATGGGATCTACACAGTGATGTGTTATGTATGTGTTAACTAGATAGTGAGGAATCCATTCACATGAGCAGTTTTTTTTCTTCCTTAATGTTAAGGATTTTACTGCAGTCTGTGAATGTGGCAACAATCCTGAACAGCTGATGACGGGGAAGGTGGTGAAGAACAAATAGCAACTGCATTTCACCGCCACTTGCACAGCTGCCAGTCGTCGACACACACCCATCAACGTGCCACTAATAGCTCCTTTCCATTCCCGGGGAAATGGCTGTAAAAAAAATGTGGGAATCACGTAGAACACGCTCAGATTTCCTGCAGCCCCTAAAGCCGTCAACCTTTTAATCTGTACTGATTTGATACCAAGATGTTTTGTGAACACACTGCCGATGGGTGACCTCAGAGTTCAGTGGGCCAGGATTTCAACACGCAAGGCCTTCGTTGACTTCATTCTTTCTGTCCACTCATGTATGAAAATGCGTTAAGTCCAGGCTCGTGAGCGGCGCCGGCTTGTGGGTCCATCCTTTTGTCCTGTGAGGGCTTAATGGGTGACAAGCGACCTGTGCTCCAATCTGGCCATTAGTCACACATGGGTGGTGGGTGCAGCGCCCCTCGTTGTTGCACTTTAAACTTACGATGATGTCTGATGTTTCATTTAGCTAAAGTCTATGTCATGAACACTTACAGGTAACACTTTGAATTCTTGAAGTAAGTTTCTGCTGAGAGTAGTTTATGCTGTTGTCACATTTTCATTCAGCAGTTTATCACACAGAAGCCAATAATTGTTTTTGCAGAAAGTGAAGCCAGGAGGTGGTGCGCATCCAAAAATTGCATAATGAAACATCTGAAGCAGTTCCAGTCAGAGGACAGACCTACCAGGAACTAAAGCAGTGTAAAAAGCTATGAAATACACGGGATTACTTTTATATCCATTGTGAAGGTGGGGAGAGTATCCAGACATTGTACTCCAGCACTACTTTAACGTATCGTTATTCTTGTAAAAAATAAAAAGCGTCCAAGAAACCATTCAAGTATTTAGTAAAAAAGGCTCCTGAGTTCTGAGTAACTGATCCGTTCACACTATGGACCAAAATATAAAGTTATGTGGAAATGTTGGTATTTAAAGACCAAAATGGAAATCATTTATATAAGTAGCATAAGTACAAAATTACAAAATCAGGCAATTTTTTTTTTTACCAAATTGATTTCTTTCAACGTAAAGGATATGAAATTTGCAGATGTGTGCCTGGCAACGCTTTAGTTAAAACGAAATTCTGGCTGTCTTCATCTAGGGAAGTTACTCACATTATCTTCCCTGCTGCCCACTTACTAGAGTAAGATACTTCATACAAAAATACTCAAGTAAAAGTAAAAAGTACAATGCAAACAAAAGTTACTTAAATAAATGCAACTAGTTGCTGCCCATCTCTTCTCCTAACAAACTAGCTTCAGGCTCCAGGTGCAGCTGAATTAGATTCATGCAAAGTAAAGAAGCCAAGAGCAGTATTGCTTACAGCTTTTTGCAGGAATATCCGTTTATCTGAGTTTGTTGTGCCTTTTCTTAAAGCGACAGGTCACAAATTCAGCTCTTGTGTTTTTGAAAAAATGAAGATCTCATTGTAAGCTAGCAATGCCTTCAAAAATCCGACTGAAATCTTTTCTGGGATTCTTACGAGGTCAAGCCGTTGCATTCCTCGGGTCAGGTGTCTAAAGGTTTGATGGCGGAGAGCGCATGGCAGAAAATGAGCAAACATTCTGGGACACTCCAGCTGAGCCAGCAGTTGTTTTTTTTGTCCCTCCTGAGCTCCATAGACAGTCCCTGGCATGCGGTCCGCTGAGGGTCTGAGGCAGCAGGAATGCTGCACCGGCATATTTAGGATCAAAGACTTTAGAAGATTTGCTTTGTAAGAAATACTCCTATTTTCACAAAATGATGCAGAACGCACAAGCTTTTGTGAGACCATCTGAAGCTGCAGCGGAGATAAGATGGATGCCGTTGTCACCATGACACCGTGAGGGGAATCCAAAAATAAAAGCTGTCATCATGAAACGTCTCACAGACCACAGATGCAGACTGTCGCCCGAGTTTTATCCAACTTTGAAAGCGGATGTCTAAACATCTAAATTCAAGATGAAAATAAAGCTGATGGTTTTGTTTTTTTTTCTCTGCAGATGATAAATATAATCCATCACTGACCAAAGGAGGCAGTTCAACAGGACAATCCAGAGACAGGATATCTACTTCCTCCTCAGTCAAAGACAGACTGGCTCTATATCTGTCGAGAACAGCAGCCATTGACTCGGTGGGCGGATCAGAGCAGCCAGTGAGTTCCTGAAATGCCTCTCATTCCTCCCCATATAACAAGGGCACTGGCTCCAGGAGGGAATCATTAGAACAGCCCAATGATTTTTAAAACACATACTTGGCTCACATTTATTGTGTTTCACTGTCCTGAGTTGTTCTTTTGTGTTCAGCAGGAATTCAGAGGAACTCCGCGAACAAAGGCTAAAACCAGCAAGGTAGTCTGTCGTTTAATTCGCCTCCCTTATTCAGTAGTATGTTTCCTCACTAATGTGTGCTGTGGTTTTTTTTCCCCATATGACATATTAAACATCATCAGAATAAATTAAAAAAACACATTTATTTAATGCAGCAGAAAATCAGAAAAGGTGTTTAATCACAACCCCTGAGTTTCAAATGGATTTAAGCCAAAAATCTTTTATTCCCTCTGCAAATATAGATCTAACATAATTTTTAACCAATCAAAAAGTTTGATGTCTGATTGGAAATGAGATTGGCATCTAGCAAAAGATATCAAAGTAAAAAGGGTCTTAATTAAAAAAATATTTTAAAAGCCTATGATTTATCTTTATCTCTGGTCTCTCTATGGACTTCATGTCATCACAATCAAGTGTCATCACTCAAGTCTAGATCAGGTTCAGTACGAAGAAACATGTTGGGAAAATGAAAAGATTAGCTGCCAGGACTAAATATCATTTCAGGCCTAACTGTACAATAAAGAAAAGGAAAAAAACCCCAAAAAGTCTATTTTGGTCTCCAAACCTCAGATATGGCTTCCCTCTTGTAAGACATATCTGGTGTTCTGGATGTGTGTAAACTGTGTCTACTAACAACTGTTGAGTCTTTTCCTAATTTTGGTGTGATAGAAGATGGTTTGCTGTGAAAAACTACATATAAACATAATAAAAGGTAAAGTATGGCTCCCATAACTATATATACATTCTCAATATATTTATTAGTAATACAGTTTTTGACGATCATAATCCTTATACTGTTCCTTCTGTCTTTTTATGTATTTCAAGATGGCTGACGCAGAAAGGAAAATCACAGTTTCACAACCATTTCATGAGGAAGATGACTTACCTCCTCCTCCACCTCCTCCTGTCCCACCCAGACCCTTTGACTATGAAGGACCAATGACTCTGAGTAGCCTCCCTTTGCCTCCACCTAAGGAAACCTTCTCCACGTTCTACCAGCAACGGCAGATAAATGAGCTGAAGAGGCTCTACAAACATATCCACCCCAACCTGCGAGCAAGTCTTGACGACGCTGTCGATGATGAGGTCATGCAAGCAGTGCAGGCAGAAAACACTCAGGCAGCAGACGCAGCTTATCAGGGAGAAGTTCAGTCCATGAGGTGGATCTTTGAAAACTGGACCCTCGACAATATCGGAGGTCCTCACGAAACGAAGAAACTCTTGGATACAGAGGAATTAAAAGGCGGAGACGTCAGGAGCACCTCTACCATGTTTGAGCACGTTGACAGCACCCAACACATGGCGACTAAAAGACAAACGTCCGTCAGAGGGGATGTGAGAACGTCCACATGGTTGTTTGAAACCCAACCTTTAGATGCTCTAAGTAAATCCAAAGCTGGCGAAGGTGAACTGGTAGAGGCCCTTCTGAAAGAACCCATTCAGTCTGGCGATGTAAGAGGGACTCGGCTTCTTTTTGAGTCCAAACCACTGAGCTACTTGGGCCGGTGCAATTCCATTGAAGACTGCAGTGTCCTGAAACTGAAATCTGAGCTTCAGGAGCAGAGAGGTGACGTCAGGAAAACCTTGAAGCTGTTTGAGACAGAACCTTGCTGTGCCATTAGAGACAACAGCGGCAATATCCACGAGATTAAATCCATCTGTAGGGAGGAGATCAATAGTGGCAAACTCAACACTGCCCGGTGGCTTTTCGAAACCCAGCCTTTGGACACGATCAATAAAGGAAGCGATGGAGTGAAAATCATCCGGGGTATATCGCTGGAGGAAGGGCACAGAAAAGGAGTCGACCAGAAAAGGTGGATGTTTGAAACTCAGTCTTTTGACACCATTACAGAAGTCTCAGGAGTGGATGCGTTTCATGGAGTGGATGCCGGCAACTCAGAAGAAGCTAATGTTGTCAACAAAAAGAAGTTGTTTGAGATGCAACCCAGGGCAGCCCTCGGAGGAAACTCTCTAGAGAGAGAAGCAATCATTGGGGGAGATGTCAAGACTTCAATGTGGCTGTTTGAAACTCAGCCCATGCAGGCGCTCAGTGACAGCTGCAACGCGGGGCGTCTGAAGAAAATCAGTCTGTCAGCTGAAGAGCAAGGGGAAGTGAAAGGCAAAAAGCTCAAGTTTGAAAATGCCAGCTTTCAAAAGAATACTTTGTTCAAACAGCAAGAGATTGAAAAGGGGGATGTGACGGGGTTCAAGCAACTTTTTGAGACGATCCCCTTAAGTCAAATTGCTCAGCTGGAACAGGAAATGGCTGAGAGGCAGGAAACCAACAAGGCAGTGATGGAAACCAGCCCTCTATATGCAATAAAAGATAGTTCTGGAAACCTTCATGAGGTCACAATAGTCAGCCGGGAGGAATTCATCAAGGGGAAAGTCAAAAACTACAAGTGGATGTTTGAGACCAAGCCTTTAGATCAGCTGGCAGATGGAAAAGATGTTGAGATTATCAAAGGCATCACCAGACAGGAAGACTCTACAGGTGATGTTAAGACAGCAAAGTGGCTTTTTGAAACCCAGACCATTGATGGAATCCACTGCAAATTCAACAAAACAGAACAAAGCTCTTCGGCTGAAAAGGAGCCTTGCAAAGGTGACGTCAAGACCTGCAAATGGTTGTTTGAGACACAACCGATGGATATGTTGTATGGCAAAATGAAAAAAACCAAGGATAAAGACGCTGTCGACACAGATGTCAAGTCTATGACTTGGCTTTTTGAGTCACAACCCTTGGACACCATCAGAGATGGTGAGCCGAACTTGAAGCTGTGCAGCACTAAGAGGGACTCTGTCAAACCAGAGGTTGCTGTTCAGACAGTCAAGCATCTATTCGAAACAGAAACTTTGGATAGGATAAAAAAAGAGTCAAATTCAGAACAAAACTTGAGATGCATCAGTCAGGTCAACTTTGAGTCAGGAGATGTGTCACGTGTTAAGGAACTTTTTGAGTCCCAATCCCTTGATGAAATTGGGTCAGAAATCATATCAACAGCTGAGAGACAGAAGCAAGGTGAACACGTTGAAAAAGGTTCAGTGCATAAAGTTACATGGATGTTTGAGAACTGTCCTATGAACCAGATTAATAGAGACCAAGATGAGCATGGAGCGAGGATGGAGGCAGTTGGAGTTCTTGAGACTGGAGATGTTCAAAACAAAAGGTTCATCTTCGAAACCTCTTCACTGGACAAAATCCAAAAAGAACCAATTGAGGGGAAGTCAATGTCGGTGCAAGACCTCATGGGCAATGTTGATGTGAAATCCAGCACCATGATGTTTGAGTCCTTGCCTCTCTATGCCATCAGAGACAAAGAAGGGCAGTTTCATGAAGTGACCACTGTCAAAAAAGAAGAAGTCATGAGTGGTGACGTCAGAGGAGCAAGGTGGATGTTTGAGACAAAACCACTCGATGCCATCAAGGCGGAGAATGAAGTTTATGTGATTCGAGCTGTTACACAAGAAGATGTCAAGAAAGGGGATGTAAAATCAGCCAGATGGAAGTTTGAGACGCAACCTCTGGATTCCCTCACTGAACGAGATGAACCTCCTGTTTTGGTCACTGAAGACTTTGGAGGCAGCAGTGTCCAGCTGAATAAACAAATATTTGAATCCGAGCAATCGAGCAAAAAGTTTGTGAGAATGGTTAGTGTCACTGATGTGCAGCGGGGAGATGTGAGGACCTCCACCTGGCTTTTTGAGAATCAGACCCTCGACAGTCTGAAAGGCGAACCTCAAGAGCAGAGTCCAGTCAAAACAGTCCACAGAGAAGACAGCCAGAAGGGAGATGTGAAGCGCTGCACGTGGATGTTTGAATCTCAGCCACTGGACAAGATCACAGAGCCCAAAGATACCTCAGCACAAGCCACCGAGGAGATACCCAAAACGGATGTAAAGTGCACAACCTGGCTTTTCGAGACCACGCCTCTGGATAAAATCACTGCCAACAGTGTGGCTGACACTCTTTCATACCTGCATGAAATCAAATTTGTCCACTCCAGTGGCATAATAATAGAAGAAAACGAAAGGAGGCATGTTAACATGGCAAAATACCTTCTTGAATCCAGCAAAGGGCTGCAAATTCAAAAAGAGGACATTGTTGCTGGCAACATTAGAAACATCATGTTGCAACTTCTGCTCAAACCAACAATCAAGCCACAAGTTACTCTTCTGAGAGAAGTCGAAAAGGGTCAAATCAACACCACTGTGGTGGAGCTGCCAGTCTTTGAGTCAACGACAACTGCCAACATTGAACGAGATCGAAGGATACAGAACATTGCTCAGATGATAGATGACTTGCTTGTTCAGGACAAGAATTTCAAAAAGGGAATTATAATGCAAGAGACTGGAGAGGAACGAGGAGAAATGTCAGTTTTTTCTCTAATCTGTAATAGTGAGATCAAAACTGAGAGTCATGTTATGGAAAGGGGAGATGTGAAAACCACAATTGGAAATCTCTTGGCCACTGCCAACAATCAGAGAGCTGCAACATTGTGTAGAGTGGATGAAAATGAAAAGGGCAATGTGAATTTATACAAAAGCTGCATTGAGAAAGGAGACCTTCATTACTTGAAGAGTCTTCATACTGAGGAATCTGAATTTGAAGCTGCTTGTGGCCTTTTGACAAAGGAGCAAGTTGAAACAGTTCAGGGGGGCGTGCAGGAAGCAAAGAGAAGCCTCTGCCAGCAAAAAGAGCAGGTTGAGAGAACCGTTTGTGATGTTTTGCCAGGAGATGTAAAGAACACCAAGAAGGTTTTCTCATCTGAGCCCTTTGTCAGTGTCGATTGCTGTATTCCAAGAGAAGAAATAATCCCGGGAGATGTGTCATCAGCAAAGCAACAACTGGCTGCAAAGCAACCTGTGATTGTGGATAAAGAGGAAGTTGTACCTGGAGATATCAGGGCAACAATGGAGTCATTAGAGCGTGCAAAACAGCAAAGCATGAGTGTGGAAAGAGAGATGACAAAACCCGGGACCATCTATGAAATGGACTTGTCAGCTCACTGTCCTGTAGACGAAGGAAGCCAACCACAGAAAGAGGTGATTGTATCTGGAGATGTGAGAGCAGCTAAAAAGTCCCTAGAAATGGCCAAGCAGCAAAGCATGCAGGTGGAGCGGGAGGTCATTGTTCCTGGAAAAATATACAATTTGGGGATGTCGGTGCAGAAGGAAAGCTCTTCGACTGTGGCACAATCTACATGTTCGTCTTCCTCAAGATGCCAGAAAATCAAGACTTATCCACAGGTCAGTGATGCAGAGAAGGATCAGGAAAGCCACATTTCCTTTGAAACTTGTCAACCAAGTGCAGTTGTAGTCAGCAATTGTGCCCAGAAACCAATGCCTTTATTTATAGGTTGTGATTTTAATGGTCAGACAAAGGAAGATGAAATAGAAGAAGTCATTAGAGGAGATGTGAAGGCAGCCATTAGGTCTCTGCAGAGTGCAGCAACAGAGCAGAGGTTTGTAGATAAGGAAAATGTTGTGAGGGGAAATGTGCAGCTGGCTTTGGAGTCTCTTGAGAAATCTAGTGTAAATGTCTCCAAGGGAGACTATAAAGCTGCAATGATATACAGAAATTCAGGCAGGACATGCCCAGGGACGAGCAAGACTGTTCACAATCAGTGTGCTGTGGTGCCTATTCCTTCATCTGACACAACATTGTCTCCTTCAATTTCAGTAACCTGTGAAGGACAGCCAGGGAACCCAACACATCTTTCACCCCATAACCCATTAGCAAATGGACCCTCTATGTCACCCAGCTTGGAAAGAGTAACCTCACCTCCACTCATAGAAAAGAGCAAGAAACCAAAGAATCACAAGCCAGTATTACCGCCAAAGCCACAATGGATAACAGTGGAAGCAGCAAACACCTCACCAACGTCTGCCGCCAAAGTTACCTGCCCCATTGACGACAACGTGAATGCAGTGGTTTCTCCAAAACAAAGCCAGCAGTTTCCTATTCAACCCACAGAAACACCAAGTGAGGAAAGGAATGATGGAAGATTGCAGAGAGATGGTGACGAAGGACCAGGTTCACATTTGTCAAATGAAGATCGGCCAGTTGACGCCAACATTCAGACACATAACACAAAGCTCCAAACGCCACTCCCGGAGAGGAAATGCAGCATTCATCAAACAATGCCCAACAGTGACAAAATGCAAGTAGAAAGAAATGTGATCCAGAAAATAAATGCAGCTGAGGAGATTCAGATGTGCATGAAGAATTATGCAGAAGATGGAAAACAGGAGGTGAACATGAGCTTGAGGGCTGCTCTTAAGAACTTTGAAAAAAAGAACAGAGATGATTTGGACAAAAGAGTTTTGCCATCCAAAAAGGTCAAAGTGAGCTATAATGATAGCAGTGATCACAGGCAAACTGGAAATAATTATATGGAGGATCATGAACATGAGCGTAGCCTTCCCAGACATCGACACAAGACTGAAGTGGAAGCATCGCAAACCGACACGACAGGTGAAATAAATCATTCACGGCAAAATGACCCACAACAAAACAAGCAGAAACTCTGGGATAACGTTGTTTTACGAGAGAAGAAAGTAAGAGAGACCGAGGAAGAAAGACGACAAAGACTTTCAGTCCACAAAGATGAGATCATGAAAGAAAATGCGGAGACCGCCATGGAGATCTTTGATAATCTGAGGAAACGGGAAGAACTCCAAGGAATCCTGTGTCAGGTGCAGGAGATCGAAGGAGAGCAGTGCAGTGTAGACGCCACCTCCCTGAAGTCATTGTACAGCCACGTCCCTCCTTGGATGGTCACGCCAAGAAATGCCAAGAAGTGTAAAAAAGACGAAAATAAAGTTGCAGAATTACAGGATGATGATCTTGAAAGCATTTCCTCAGTTGAAAGTGCGTTTGAAGATCTTGAGAAAGCTAGCAAGGAGATAATGAAGCTGAAGGAACAGACATTAGCCAAACTCGTTGACATTGAAGAAACAATCAAAAAGGCACTGTATTCTGTTTCCAGTCTGAAATCTGAAGCCGACATTGCAGGTTTGTCAGGACTCTTTGACGAATCTTTGAAGTCTGAGCAAAATTGTCAACCCGTCAATAGCATCAAGAAAATAAGCATAATGTCAAGCAAGACCAATCCAAGCCCGCGAAAAGAGTCACCAGAAGAGACCCAAAATGCAAACAGTAAGCCACTAATCAGACAGTCCTCCTCTCAGTCTTCACCATCATTCATCTCCATTCGCTCTGCAAGGAAGCCTTCTGAGCAACAAAAACAAACCATGTCAACATTTAAACCAGACACAAAGAGTGCTCCGAGTGGCTGCCATGACGCAAAGCAAGATCTGGATTCCTCTGTTCCCGAGTCGTCAAGTAACGGTCCCAGTCAAGAACGCAAAGTCAGCGTGCTTGAAGTAAAGGCTGTCCCAGAGCAAAATGCAGGAATAATTGGCACCAAGACTGTTAGCGAAACATACGAGGAGAGCGACAGCTTCGGCAACGTGTTTGTTTCTTCTGTGACTTCCACATTTGTAACTAATCAGCCCGAAGGCAAAACGTCAGCTTTGTTCGAAGTAGTTGGAGGTCCTGCCAGGTATGAGGTGACGACGTCGCCTTTAATGCAACGATCCGGGCGTCCGTTCAAAGATAAAGTGTTGAGCAACGCCAAGCAGAATGGAACAGTGTTTGTAACATTCAGTCAACCAAAGCAAAAGAAATAAATGAGTGACTCAGTCTTGTAAATTCAGGACATTTATTCCATTGGTGTGTGTATGTTGTATTTTCATGAAAATAAATTTTTTTTTGCCAAGTTTATTAAAAATGCTCATTTTTAATAGCTAAACATTTGTTTTATAGTTGTTTTAATTTTTTGTACTGTAACCACCTGATAAAGTACTTATGTTTGTCTGTCAAAACTAATAATAATGTATTTTTTGATGTGAAAATTGTCAAATAAATTAAACTTTGAAAAATGGTAAAGACTTTTTATACTCTTTAATTAGGGAACTTATTAACAAGATTTAAAATAAAATAGGAAATGAAATGACAGTGACAATGTTAAATTAATGTTGAAAATTTTAAATATACATTTTTGTCACATTGTATAATCAAATTAGTTGGGATTTGCTATTATTTATTATTTTTTGGATGCAATAAATAAAAATATTTGTTGATAATTTTGGCAGGATCCATCCTCCATATAAGATCCATATAATAAGTTCCAAAATTGAAGCTTCACATAAAATACTTACCGGCCATGTCGCAGAATGAAAAACATTAAGGTATTTAGGGTTGTGATATTTATCCTTTACATTTTAACAGGCATTATGTCATGTGAGGGAAAAACCTTAAATGCTACAAAGGATCCTTAAAAACAAAACTTTAAACGCCAAACTATTTCAATTAGATGGGGATAGGACACATTCAAATCTCAAGATCAGCACCATAAGAACTGCATAAGTTACATTTTTCTAATCAAATAAAGCTAGATATTAAATTCTTGTTTTAATCTTAGCTAAATGAACTAGATTTTAAAACGTACCTGGCAATGAGCAATAAATAAACCCCGCCAGAGTTATAATAAAATAATCAAAATATAGTTGTTTTTTTCCCCCTTTATTTAGCCAAATAAAGCCCGTTGAGATCTAGGTCTCATTTTCAATTGCAGTCTTCTGTGTATTGCAGAAGACTGCAATACACAACAACCTGGTAACAAAATAAAAATAATTAGTAAAATATAGGTCATACTCTGCCTAAGTGAAATAAAAACTGCAGAAAAATGACTTCCCTTTTGAAATGTTGATCACTTTTAACAGAACTTGGCAAATTGTGGGTCTCCTTAAGTTTGAGATTGTGTTGTGGAAACTAACATTTCTCAGTTCACAACTATAATTTAGCATGACTTCCTGTATCGCTGCCTGTCGCCTCGCATTCTGAGCTGCACAGTATGGAGCAGGCGGCACAGATACGAGGACTATTTAGTCTAGTAAACAAATAATTTAAAACAAATAAAACAATGGCTGATGCAATTAATAAAGTTGCCTGAACATCAACAACAAAATCTTTCTTTTTCTTCCAGAGCATGTTGCTGATGCTTGATTACTGCCAGACCTCTAGAATCAAAAAATGACTTTCATAAAGCCTTTTGGACAACACAAGGTTACCTAAACGATCTGAATAAACCACACAAAGTTTGTCCTGGATACATTTTTCCCAATAAAATTGTTGTTTAAGTGGGTTACTTTTTGCATTTACCGTTATCTCTGTGATTATCAAAATTAGTTTGATGACCTGATGTGTGACTGAAATAGAAGACCTCCATTAACGAAACCGATATGTTTTGACAGGACTCTTTACAGCAGCAATGGATGACTGGAAATGTCTCCATAATTCTGAACATTCACTGTAGCTTCTATCTCATATTGTCTCAAGAAATTACTCAGACATTCGTGTCATTAAATTCATTATATCTTATTGTTTAAAAGTTGCCCAAACTTTAAGTCGCATGTTCATTGGACACTCCTGAAATGTTTCCAGCTGTCTCACTGGTGTCATGTCTGACATTTTCCAAGTCTGACATTTTCTGGAAGAAATCTTAGAGTGTCGTTGCATCATAAACATGCAACGTAACTTCACTGTAAAAGAAATTATGTTTTCATCATCACAGTTCCAGTCACCTGCCAAGGAGATGTGTTCTGCCTGCCTGACACCGGTGTATCCGGTGGAAAGAATGGTGGTCAACAAGCTAACCCTGCACCAAAACTGTTTCTGCTGCAAGCACTGCAAGAAGAAGCTCAGGTGAGACACATCTCACTATAAACCTGCTAAAAAGAACCCTCTACAGTTCTTCATAGCTGGCCGTCATAATAGTAACAGTCAGAGTAAGAAGGATAAAAAAAAAACAAACAAACATTAAACTATATTTTGGTTTGCATTGCAGCACTCATAACTATTCCTCCCTTTATGGAGAGTTCTACTGCATCTCCCACTACCAGCAGTTGTTTAAGAGAAAAGGGAACTACGATGAAGGATTTGGGCACACACAACATAAAGACCGCTGGCTTCACAAAAATACAGGAGCAGATGAGCCCGATGCCAAAACCACGTCCAAAATGACCAAAAACAATTTGAAAACGCCTGTTGAGCTGCTCAGTGTGACAGCTGGCATAAACAAGAGCGAGCATCAGAGTGTTGCCAATGTTAAGGGAAAGCTGAAAGTGAGATGGCCTCCAGAGAGGAATATTACCAGAGTCAACCCAACACAGTCGACAAATGCACCAGTGCTGAAAAATAAGGCGCACGATGCCGGCAAACTGGCTACCGCCGGTCAATCAGAGCGTTGGAGGGGTGACAAACCTGACTATAGGAAAGAAATGACGAACACAGCAGGGAAGGGACAGTCTAAGACAGTAAATTTGATCTCAGCTACGAAGTCGCCCCCTGGAAAACCAGTGTCAGTGAAGTATCCAACAAAAGCAGCCCAAATCTCCATCCCTCCAACGGAGCGTGAAGTTCCTTTGCACATCTCTGTGAAAAACCAAAGAGCAGTTCAGACAAGAGTGATGACCATTTCAAAACTGAACAACAGTCCAGTCTCTAACAAACTGGAAGTCTACCAAAATAAAATTCGGAAATCGGTCCGATTTGCTCAGAAGGTTGACGTGGTTTTGTGCAACCAGTCCAGCCAGATCGGTTCTGGAGCTGAATCTGAAAACTCCCCAGAGCAATCAGAGCAAAGCCTTACAAGTAGCTCCCAGGATGAAACAGTGACCAATGACACGAAAGTAAATTCTTTAAGCAATGGACTTGAAGAAAACAATGGAACCCCTGAGATGACTCTATGTCAAGACAATGGAGAACAAACAACTGAACCAAACCAGGAGTCCAATGTTGATATGGAGACCAGAAAGGAAATACCACGAATGGATGATGCAACTCTGACAGAAGATGTGGGAGAAATTAAAGACTCACTTAATTGTCAAAGTCACACAGAAATATCCAGTTTGACTGAAGATAATACAAGACAACATGAATCATCTGAGACACCAGATGTTGCTTCAACTGGTCAGGTCAGCAAATGTGGTTCTGAGGATATGAATGGTCCACAAAATCTTGTGGGACCTGTGATCGAAGAGGAGGCCAGTCTTGAAATGAATGAAAACCAGTTGGCAACAACCAGTTTGAACAGTGAGAAAGAAAACACTGCAATTCAGAAGAAGGCTTTACCAAGAACAAACTCAAAATCCAAACTGGGATCCTTGTCCAAAGGAAGGAGTCCTTTGACGAAGCTCTTTACATCAACTGGTAACGACAAAGCAACAAGAGCCGAACCAAAGGATGCAAAGAAAACTGATGTGAAACCTGGTGGTGGACTGTTTGGAAGACTGTTTCAATTATCCTCTGACGCAACAAAAACACCCGCACAGCCAGAGAAACATACCAAAATCAATACCGCTAATGAGACAGCAGAGATGAAACAACAGACTAAGACAAAAGAGAATCAGGAGGAGAATATTTCTGAAGTTGCACCTTTGGAACCAGAAGCTGCAAATCAGACAAGCTCAGAGCTTTCTGAGGAAACTATCAGCACATCTATAGAGCAGATCAACTTGTCCCAGGAATCCGTCAAAGAAACTAGTGAGGATTTGCCAGCTCCAGGGAAAACTGATGAAAATCCAGCTGATCAAGAATCAGATTTTAATATTACTGTAGCAACAGATCAGACTCCAACTGATCCAGAAAAACAACCTGAAGTCCTCCCAACTGACACGCATTTACCAAACCCAGACACAGAAGAATTGGTCATTGAGTCAACACATGAAGGAAGCATTGATGAACATTTGACTCATCCTGTGGTTGATAATAACTTCAGAGAAGTTGTGAGTTCAACCCAGGTGGGTGAAGGATCCATTCAGATAAACACAGACGAATCTTCTCCAAATTCAGACAAACTGCTTGACGCATATGATGAAACGGTTTCCTCCATTTCTTTGGAGGAGACCGTTCCATTGGTCTCCTCCAATGAAACGGTCTCCAAAATGGAGGAGACCGTTTCATTGGTCTCCTCCCACGAAACGGTCTCCAAAATGGAGGAGAACGTTCCATTGGTCTCCTCCCATGAAACGGTCTCCAAAATGGAGGAGACAGTTCCATTGGTCTCCTCCCACGAAACGGTCTCCAAAATGGAGGAGACCGTTCCATTGGTCTCCTCCAATGAAACGGTCTCCAAAATGGAGGAGACCGTTCCATTGGTCTCCTCCCACGAAACGGTCTCCAAAATGGAGGAGACCGTTCCATTGGTCTCCTCCCACGAAACGGTCTCCAAAATGGAGGAGACCGTTCCATTGGTGTCCTCCCACGAAACGGCCTCCAAAATGGAGGAGACCGTTCCGTTGGTCTCCTCCCACGAAACGGTCTCCAAAATGGAGGAGACAGTTCCATTGGTCTCCTCCCACGAAACGGTCTCCAAAATGGAGGAGACCGTTCCATTGGTCTCCTCCAATGAAACGGTCTCCAAAATGGAGGAGACCGTTCCATTGGTCTCCTCCCATGGAACGGTCTCCAAAATGAAGGAGACCGTTCCATTGGTCTCCTCCCACGAAACGGTCTCCAAAATGAAGGAGACCGTTCCATTGGTCTCCTCCCATGAAACGGTCTCCAAAATGGAGGAGACCGTTCCATTGGTCTCCTCCCACGAAACGATCTCCAAAATGGAGGAGACCGTTCCATTGGTCTCCTCACACGAAACGGTCTCCAAAATGGAGGAGACCGTTCCATTGGTCTCCTCCAACGAAACGGTCTCCAAAATGAAGGAGACCGTTCCATTGGTCTCCTCCCACGAAACGGTCTCCAAAATGGAGGAGACCGTTCCATTGGTCTCCTCGCACGAAACGGTCTCCAAAATGGA